AAAAAAAAAAAAAAAATTGCGAGCCAAAAAAAAAAAATTCCTCCTGCGCATATTGGTGATACCGTATGAATAGAAGTGCCTTATGTCGATCGTGGTCGTAAAGATGACCGAAATGTGTTGGCAGTTGTTGCTGTAATAAGACTCCGTCTTTTATAAACTAGCAAATAAAAATGACACCTTCAAACAGCTTTATACCTATAATCAATTTGTAATTTGTAAAGAAAAGTTACTTTCCGTAGATGAGATTTCTTCTCAAGTAATGTTGCTGAGAGAAGCGGCTGCAGCTAATTCGAGAAGTGGAAGGCAAGGCTATACACACTGTCATTGCAAAAGGAAGTGTTCCAAACTAAATACAGTTGTAAAAGCAAGGGACTCTTGTGCAATTCAAAATATCATAAAATTTTATGTTGTTGCAATAAATAAGATTTCAATCACATAATTAAGTAAGTTTTTTTTTGTATTATTTTCTTTTCTCGTTTAGGATGTATTGTTTAAGTTCAAAAGTTTATTTACATGGGCTGTTACTTAAGCTTTTTCGTATTTTGACATTAAAATGCAAAAGTTTAAAAAAAAAAAAAAAAAATTCTTTATTGTCTAAATTTAAAACTAAATGCTCAACATTCATCCAAGCACAGCTGCTGTCACTATTGAGAAGGCAAGTAGTATCAAGTAGACCTTCTCAGGTTAAAATCTGAAGCTACATGTCACGCTGTGAAAACGAAATGCCTTCTATAAAGTTACGAACAACTCTTCTCACCAGGGATGGTTACTCCCTCGCAGACACAAAGTTCATACCCTTGAGGTTTATGGTCGAAATGCGAGAACAAAAGCGATCCATTATTCACATTTTCATAGTGCTGGTTAATTTGACATTGCCTGGGTAGTCAAATAAGGATATTTGCAAAATTTTGACTGCACCAGCGACTATGTGAACGTTGACATTCTCCAAATCTCGGTCTTTCACAGTAACATTTATAGTAATTTTGTATTTTTTGAGTGATGCCCTGAATTCGGAGGACTGTTGACTAGCCAAATAGGGCGATTTAGTGTCAGTTATGAATTATCTACTTATTTTAGAATTCTGCAGTACGATTGGCAACCATTGCTGAAATTTCTGCCAACGGTATAATACATAAGTAGCTATATTTTATACAGCTGGTCCTTGAACTTTTTTCATTCTTTCTGTAATCATATGTTCTTTTTACAACCCCAATAAACGTTTTGTTATAAATGTTTATTGTTTTGATAAAAATATATATAGGCAAAGAAGTAGTTTTAGGATTTGTTTCAAGTGTACAAAAATTACTTAAAAAAATTGTGTGTTACTGAGACTGTGGTTAAAAAAATTGTGTTACTGAGACTGTGTGTGCTTGTTCTTTTGCTGCATAACGAATTAAATCTTGGTGCAATATTTGACATTGCTGGACCTAAAGCATCTTCATATTTTCAAAAGTTGAATGATATTTGCATTTAATGAGTGTTAAAATTGAAAAAGGTGTTTCACGTGAGTATGCATTTCTTAAATTTAATTTAAAACAGTGCCTCTGTAAGACTTTTTTTCCATCTAACTGCCAATTGTTAATTTCTTCTTATTATTATTATTATCTATTTTTGTAGACTTTTAATCTGTGTCTATAGAAACGAATGCTTGAAATGTGATTACTTAGGTTTAGAGTAAAAAAATTCTGTAGAAATTTAAAATTCTAGAAATAAAATTGACATTTTTAGGCATTTTGATCGTGCTACCCTGATGTATGTATATTATGTGGAATTTGTGAAAAATGGGAAAAAAGGTTTTGAAAATAATTTAAATTCAGTTTTGGGTGTAAACTGTATCATGCAGTAACTGTAATAGCATAATGCTTTAAAAAAATGTAACTCGGCTGAAAAATGAAAATTTACTTTATGACATTATTATATTGTTTAAGCTATAAAAAGAACATGCAGCTTGCTATGATCCCAAGTCTTTAGAACTTCTCCCTATGCAAATTTTTGATTTTCTGGCCCTGCGAGAGCTTTTTAATTTTTCAGGAGTTAAGGTAGTAAAATATTTTGTTCAGGAAGAATATCTCTTTACTAGATGTAAAGTCCTGATGCATTTTTTTTTCTATTATCAGGCCAATAAGAAGCAATTTTCATAGCCAACTGTGTTATAAATAAACTGAACCATAGTCTTTTCTCCATCAAATAAACAAGACTTGTTCTAGGCTAAGTATTTACTTATATATACAATTATGTATAGATTACATTTTAGAAAAACTTTAAATGCATTTTCATTACTGTAGAGTGCACAAACCACCATCCTCTCTTTTCTCTTCCACATGTCAATCTCTTTTTTACTCCCACCTGCGACCAGGGGGAAGTCCACTCCCCTCTTCCAGCCAAGGCGAGAAGAGGGTTCTCTGTCCCTTTGAGGGTGGGTGATCAAGTGTTCTTCAGAGAAAAGAGACGTTACAAAACACGCTCACCCAACAGAGTAGAGAAGACAAGTTTGGTGGCTAATAATGGTATATCTCGCATGGGTGCTGGTATAATTTATATACCAATCTTGAAAATCTTTAAATAATCTTATTTTAATCATCACTTTTGATTCAGATGTGGTAAATATATAAAATTCATTCTGTATACATCATTTGTTTGCAGATTTTGAATTCACCTCCCTCCACTACAATTTATGAATCTTGAAACAGAGACCTTGAACAAGGTAAATTAATTTAATAGCTGCAAAATATTTAGCATTGACAGGGTAGTTCTGTCATCTAATATTGGGGGGGGGGAAGAAATCCTAGAAACTCAAGATTATAGCTTTTGGTACAAAAAATTAGCATTTTTTAGGAGATTTAAAAAATTGACAAATTTCTGGTATATTTAATGTATCAGTGCCCTTCAGAGGGTTAGGTGGCACCTGCTGTAGCTTGATTTGGATGAAAGTAATTTTTTTTTTCTTTTTCTGTTTGAAGGTGAAAACAACAAATTCAAAGTGCATTTCACGGACCCTCGAGTGTGTAAGAGTTTTTTACTTGCATGTTGCCCACACGACATTCTGGCTGCAACCGTAAGTAACCTAACCTGTTGGGTATGGGCAGGTTTTTTTAATTATAGATTATATAAGTAATTTACCAATCATTGCATGTGTTTGAAAATGCAGTACTTCCTTTTTTTACTGATCTGATGGCGAGTCTCAATTTTATGGTCTGCTAAAATTCATATGAATTTAAGGAAGAAATATTTTTTCCTCATGGTATTAAGTATTATTATTTATTAAATCCCAATAAACTCCATCCGTATTTTCTTTACCCCTTTATTGTTAAAAAATATCCTTCAATAAGTCAAGTTAGTCGGTGGCATTGTAGTCTTTGCTGTTGAATTTATTTATTTATTTGAGGAGCAGATGTATTTTTTAGAGGTGCTTATGTCAAATTTATTCAAAATTTATAGGATTTTTTTATTAATTAATCAGTTAACTTTACTGTAACAGTTTGAACTTTTAACTAATTTCCATAGTTCTGACTAAAAAACTGAGGTTTTTAATGATTTAAATTTAGAGCTTCTGGCAACTTTGCTTGCATGTACTGTTGCCAGTTTTACAGAAGTTTAGTCCGATTTTGCCCCTTTGCTAGCCAACATCAAAAGCGTGCCATTAATTATTTAAGTAGACTTATTTTGTGTGTAACATCAGTCTATATTACTTAAATTTGAAATTAACTTCATCGTATGTTACTTTAATGTTATGTTAAATACCCTCAAGTAGTAGAGTTTTGACTGTAGTACAAGGAGCACCTTATGCTAATTTCAAGGGAGTTCAACCTTTTTAAGATTTTGTCATTTGCTTCGTACTAAAGTGATGACTTGCTTGTCCATGTAGAAGGGTTTGAAGGTTGTTTGAGTTAAACTTCTAGATGTAACAGAACCCTACAGATTGTATGCAATTTTATGTTTTTTACAAAAAAAAACCTGCTGCCCAACCAGTATAGTGGTTAGCGTTGCTGACTGCTGTGCCAAAGGGCCTGGGTTTGGTTCCCGGAGAAGGAATGGATGTTTGTAAATGTATTGTGTCGGTGCGGCATGGCGGCGCTCTAAATATGCGGTGAGCCGAAAGTCCTGTCCTTTGGTTTCGTGGAAGGGGAGCAGAGTGGAAGACCCTTGGACCCATCTCCCCCGGGTGCTCTCCATCAAAGTTGGGGGTGGAACTGAGCTAAATTGCACTGTCACTTGAATGATTCTCAAGGTTGTTGCCAATGGCAAGCTTAATCTAACGTTCTTTGCCACGAGTAATTTCGTGGGCTTGGACTGACTTCGTCAGACAAGTGAGCATAAGCAACAACACAAAAAAACCTAAATACTGTTAGCTTTCAAAAAGTTCCTAATTCAATGGAATAGCCTAATTTTCTATGCAAAATCTCTAAGACATCTCTCCCCTTAAAGATGTCTAATACAAATTGACCATTTCTTAACTATGTGGAATTTTGTAAATAGATTTCAATAAAATTAATGTTTTCACAAGGATGTAGTTTATGGAAATGAATGTTCATTATCTACTAATTAAATAAATTATCCCCCCTGTGGAAGTACTGCATTTTAAATATTTTATTAGTTTTTTTTTATCAGAAAGCACTTCTTAAAACAAGTCTCCTTTTAATTTTTTAGAGATAAAATCACTCTTATTAGAAGTTTGGTCTTACACGTGAGTATTAGATAAAGATGGCCTGCATTGTGTAAACTATTTGTGCCTAAGTTATTTTTCGAAATAAAGCTCTTTGGTTCGCTATTCATTCTAATTTCTCACCGTAACTTAATAGTTGAGCTTGAACAAAATTTAAAATAAAAGTATTCCTTTTTTGTTCTTATTTTTTCTGACTAAATTTCATCTTTAATTATGCGTTATAGCAAGTACTAACCATCAGATGACATTACTGAAAATTAAAATTCACAGTTCAGCATTTCAAGCTGAGATCGACATTACTTCATAAATGTATGGAATATTCTATCTGGCATTGAGCAATAACCTATATACCTTTGATCATTCATATTAGAAAAATAACATGTATTTTTTAGCTTTTTATGAATAATTTATTTTGCAGTGCAGAAAAATTTTCTTTTTGAATTACAGTATTCTTAGGGTAATATATGCTGTATGATCAAAAGTGTCTGGACACTTGTAGTATCATGGTATGTGTATATTGAGTACAGCCGTATGATGGCAGTCTCCCTTCTGTCAGAAAAGCTATTCAGTAGATTTTTGTGTTGCTCTTGGAATACCTCATCATTCTTCTTTAGCCCATTTTTAATACCAGTTTTATGTTCTTTGGCAAAGGCATAGACCTTTGTTCTCTGTCTCATTTGTCCATTTGTATCACCAAATGAAGAAGTATTCCAAAGGTCCAAAACCAAGACTTCAGAGTGAATGAAAAACTGTCATTGTGTTGATGTAACATCCAGAGGTTTCTTTGAATTTCTGATGAATTTTTTCTGCGGGTTCCTGCCAGACTTTCACAACTCTCTGCAGTGCTCTACTGACCCTGTCTACAAGACAACATGGTCTACTAGATCTTTGTTGCACAGCAGTAGGTTCTGCACATTCCACTTCAAGATAGCATGTTGTACACTGCACTAAAAAAAAAAAAAAAAGAAAAGGGGGGCAGTTCTATATCTTCTATTCTACTGGGCCGATTGACAAAATTCAATTGCGTTTTTCATGTCTCGAAAGCGCGACTTAGGATATATGTTAGATTTATATATAGCATTGTTCTAATGTAGGTACTTTGACACAAAATCAGACTTTTTCTTAAATAACATACTAATTATTTTTCCATATTTCGATTCTACAACTCAAATTATGCTTAGATATTAAATTTTGTGAAATTTGGTGCGAAATTTACGGAGAAATTCAAAAGTTTATCTTGGCCCAATTTTTTTAGTTTGTGCCAAGAATAATTACTTAGCGAACTTCTTAATATGTGGCAACCAATTTTCCTTTCCCTTGCATTATGCTGGACAGGAAAAAAGCCACCTTGTTCCTACCTTTTTACATTGTGTATAGGTGGGAAAAAAGTTGCATTGTTCGTAAATAATTTTAGCAAAGTGTCTAAACCACATCTGATGTTTTATCGCTTTAAACAAGTATACCAAATTTCAAAACGCGCCAATATATAAATTCACGTGTATCTTCGGAAATCTTGTATAAAAAACTCCTCATTTTTTGCAGGTATACTTAGAAATACGACTACTTTAAGATGATGGTAAAAATTTTATAGATTATGATTCAATTAAAAAAAATTATAAAAATTATTTAAAAATTAAATCGTAGAAAATGGGTTGATTTTATTTAGAATGAATCTGAATTTTGAACTGTGAAAGGAAGAATCAAATAAGTTTAATAAAATAGGAGAGATTAATAAATATATACTAAATTCAATTAACATTGAGGAGCTAAAATTTTGAGAGCTAATATTTTAAGAACTACTCATGCGATTTTTACAAAACTTGGCAGTTCAGAGTAATTTGAGTCGTATAATTGAAATATGGAAAGAAATTGGCATGTTATTTCAGAAAAAGTCCTATTTTGTGTCAAAATACTTACATTAGAGCAGTGATATATATAAATTTAATACATATCCTAAGTTTCGCTTTCGAGACATGAAAAACGCAAGTTGAATTTCGTCAATCGGCCAGTAGAACCGGAGATATAGAACTGTCCCCCCCTCTTTTTTTGCTCAGTGTACAATAGAGCAGGGCATTCCTAACATTGCAGAAATTTCTCAAACAGACTTTCTAATCTCTTTCTCAAACCCAAAATCATTTACCTGGTGTTTTCCTCCCTGTGCTTTTCTAGCTTTGAAATAAGGATTGTAAACTTGTCTGGCTTCATTTATATTTCTCTGGAAGCTAAAAGCTCGATGTCGCTAGCTGAATCCACTATTATGAAGGATGTCTGTTACTTTTGATCATACAGTGTAGTTTATGAAGCAGTACTTGCCAAACTTTCAAAATTAAGTATATAAACACTCTTGCAATATCTCATGTTTATCCAAAAACATCACGTGAAGCCCGAGCAAGTGTTTTCATTAAAATTTTGACCTTATGTATTCATTGTGGTATTAAATTTTCTTTTATGACACTGCATACTGGAATTAATAGAAATGAAAATAAAATATAAAAATTATAACTTATTCAAAGAAAATATTTTAACATTTTTAGTGTTAAAAAAATAATTCATAGACAAGATTGTTTGTATGGATAGTTGTATATAGTGTATTATGCAGAAGCAGTAACTATAAGTGGAATATGGGAGATTTTTGATATTGGTTATAAAATATTATAGGCAGACTAAAGGTGTCTTCATAGAGATCAAATGACCATAAATATTTTAACATTTACAATTATAAAATTTGGAATCGAATAAAGTTATTTATATAAACAATAATGTCCTAAAATCAGTTTTAATACTTCAAAATAGGATTTAATGAGAAAGTTTTAATACTTCAAAATAGGATTTAATGAGAAAGTTTAAATATTTTTAATATTTAAACTCTTTTCAACTAAAAACCTTTTTTTTATAAATAATGTGTTCTTAGCATTTTTTTCAGCATATTGTACTTCTACCAGTATACTTATATTTTTAAAATGTAATTCATTATAAAACACATATGAATTTATATTGGTATTAATCAAAAGTTGATTGGAGAAAAGTTTATTTATTTATTTTTTTCTATTAATTCACAGCTCTTAAAGTTTAGACAGTCTTTATATTATTAAATAAATGTTTGTACTCACATTGATGAAATGGATGAGCTTGCCGATTTTTGCAGAACTGTTCAGTGTTTGGATGCATGCTGATGAGCTTAAAAGTCTGAGATCATCACGTACATTGAGTTGATTTAAGTGTTTTTTTTTAATTTGAGTTAATGTCAAAAATCCTTTCTTACAAATACATTTAAGTGCAGTTCACTACCTTCTTATTATTACAGTTTATTCTTATTATTTATTCTTACAGTTCACTACATCTAATTATTTTAAATCATGCTGGACTCTATAGTAGTTTTTCAGGATTTATGAAATGGAGTCGCAATCATCCCTGATGGTCATTGAGAATAAAAAAATTACAGTGTAGATGGAATTGAGTACAAGAAAATTACTTATCAAAGGATTAGCTTGTAAACAACATTTTAGTTCATTTTATTTTGACACTACATCTGAAAGATATGCCCGTGTACTTAGCTTTAGCTACATGTTATCAGGAAGAAACAATATAAAATCTTTTTAATTTCGTTCCCAAACATAACATTTTTGCAAATCTAGGAGGGCCATAAGTGCAGGCTTCGAGTACCACTTGTACTCTACAGACTACATTTTGAGAAGTGCTCTTGTAAAAGATAAGGAAGAAAATAAAGCTATGTGGCAACAGTATTCACCCCAAAACATTTTTAACTTTTGCTAGCAAAGGCATGAAATTATTTACATAGAAACATTGCCTTTATATGTAACATTTTTTAACATTTGATATAAAAAAATTACTAATTTTGTCATGTGAAAAATATTTAACATTTTATATCAAAGTATAAAAGGTAGGGAGATAAAGTTAAAAATTTTTTTAATCATACATTGCTTAACATATGAAACATTTTTAATGTTCAAAATCAAAATAGTATCAGCAGAATTATATTGTTTATGTAGAGAAAGTACACATGCTGAACTTAAAATTAAATTAAAAAAAAATTAAGGATAAAATAAAGTTACATAGAGATGATAATAATAATATGAAACATTTCAAGTATTTTTCTGCAAAATAGTGCCAGGTTGTGTTTGAATAAAAAATCAATATAAGGAATTGTAGGAATTAAAAGCTTTATGATACATTGCATAGTCTCTCATGATGATTAACTCTTTAAAGTTTTCTTAGTGTATAGTAGCACATAGTTTGGTAAGTACTGCTGTGAGCTGATATTGATTAAAAGAGAGGTTTTTTTTTTTTTTTTTTTTTTTTCTTTCAACTTTTTATGCAAGACTTTTGAAAAGCTGGGAGAAAAGTTTTTAATCCTCAACAAAGTAAATTTCTTCTGGAGGTTCCAAGTATAGTAATTTTCATAAAGAATTTTTTGAGATGAACTAAAAACTAATAAGTATTTTATGCTTTCTTTCTGTTTATCCTAAAAATTTTCTATCTGAGTAAAAGTCTTTTTTTTTTTTTTTCCTTTTCTAATTTACAAGGCCATCTTTTTATTATTTTCCTATTGAAGCAATTGACAGTTTTTGAATATTTTATTTTGATATCAAGTTGTTAAAAATCCTGGAAATAATTGTTCATGCATAATTCACACTGTGATGGTGAATTCATTTTGAAAGGCCTGTGGTGAGTAGAAAAATGATTTATATACGTGTTTATGGAAATTCTTATAGGAACAGTGTAAGATGAACTGCCAAAAAAAAGTTTTAATCGATAGTTAAAAAAAATCATAAAGTATTTACTGAAGACTTAGCTTTAAGTAATTTTTAATTCCATTTAATGTGTATATAGGTATACCTTACTGTAGTTGCTTATGTTCCTTTTAATTTTTCTTCTTTTTTTATAGAAAACTTTGCATACCACTTTTTTTTTTTTTTCTTTTGCATATTCCCATCCTGTATTTTGCTAATCTTACTGTCTGAAAGTCGAGAGGAGAAAATTATAATTGAATTTTTGAAGAACACATTTACAGTAAAAACATTAGAACTGAAAAGTACTCATGGATAAACTGTCACAATATTGTTTTTTTAAAAGAAATTTACATTCTGATAAGAAACATGCATATCTAAAAAGATACCTTCATTTTCCCTATAACTTAAATCTTGCTCATTCTTATTGTTGTCTCTGCTGGTTTTAGGCCTCGAATCATCCGCAAATAATTGGAGACGGTGAACATGCAGCCAGCTTGGCTCACAAGGGTTTTTCTTTGTTAGTGAATTGCCAGACAAAAGCAGTCACTACGTCAATGGATCGATTGTAAAATTTAGGAAAGCTCATTCCCTGAACACATCACGTGAACATATTTTAAATTTTCAGAACCAGTTACTAAAATGCTAGGGGAAAAATATATGAGGAAATACAGTAGGTAAAGTTTTCAGCTATTTTTAGGTAATAAAGCTATCTGAGTTAGAGCTAGAAACAGTTATGTGCTGCGTGAACAGCCTGTAGTAGAAACAATCAAACAGTAGAAAATAATTATAGTCATGTTTTGAAATAAAGCTGGAAATATCTCCATTAACAGGCAGAAATTTTAAAATTTTGTAAAATATACCAGAAATAGTATAGCTAAAAGCATTTGAAAATATGCATTAAGACTAGTTAGTTGGGATTTATGAGAAAACTTTCAAAGTAATTAAGATGTCTTACATTTTGTTAAAAATTAATAAGGTGCACATTTTTTATTAAATTTTCTTTTTAAACACTGAGCTTCCATCTGTAAGTGTTTAAAAAGAAAATATAATAAAAAATGTGCACCTTAATAAAAAATGTACACTGAGCTTCCACCTGTAAGTGTTTATAGAAAGTTATTTTCTGCAATTAAAAATTTTTTTTTTTTCTTGCGAATTGATTTTGAAGACACAAAGCATTTTAAGAAATAGCCAGATTGGGCAGTATTTTAAAATCTACTGCATTATATAGTATTTAGTGAGCACTGTAAATTTTTCCCTATAGAGTTAGTATTTTTGTGCAAATAGTATGGTATACCTATATTATCAAAAGCGTACAGTTGCTAATTTTACTTTTGTATATATCTTTGTGCTATGCTAGTTGTCATTATTATTACAATAAAAACTTGTTTTTGTTCCATTACACAAACTAATTAAGCTTATGTTGAATAAACTTGAATCAAATATTGTGTAAGCTTCTTTTATAATATTCATAACATTCTTCCCATCCTGCATTACTGAAAGCATTACATTTCTGATGTGCAGAACATTGATGCCATAATAAATATAAAAATAACATTTGCATATGTTCCATCATACCGGAAAATGTTTTTATATTATTGTAACCCCAGTGTGAGTATTAATCAGTGATATTGATCTGATGAACAGTGTTTTTGATGTGATTTTAACAAGGAAAATTCTTGTACTAGTGGTGGTGACATTACCAGTAATCTTCCATGTTACTGAAAGGTTTCTGGGAATGTCTGTGACTATCCATGAGACTTCATCCTCGGTTTTTATTATTCAATTTGTCATTTAAAAATGATGCTGATAGTAATGGATGATAGTCTTCCATGTTGCTGAACGATTTCTGGAATTTACCTGACTATCCATTAGTCTTTGTTCTCAGTTTGGATTTGTATTATTCAGATATTGCTGATTTTAGGCATGTTTTTGAGATTTCATCCCCAATTTGATTTGTATTGTTTGTTCAGTTTGTTGTTCTGGAAATGATACTGATGATGGTAAAATATGAGTGATAGTTTCTCATAATGCTTGAAGGGCTTTTTGTGAGAATCTCTGTAACTATCCATGAGATTTCATTTTCGGTCTGAATTATCATTCATTATGCTGCCTCAGGAATTATATTGATAGTCTTCCATATTACTGAAAAGGTTTCTGAGAATGCTTGTGACATTTCATGAGGCTTAAGTCCCAGTTCGATTTGTACTGTTCAGTTTGTTATCTCAAAAATGATACTGGTGGTGGTAATCCCATAATGCTGAAAGTTTTTTCGACAGTGTCTCCTGGCTATCCACAAGACTTCATCTTCAGTTTAGAACTGGTCTTCAGTCCTTCCAGAAGAACTGGTCATGGTAACATAGTGGCAGCAATGAAAGAAGAAAGCAAAGTGTATTTTAAGTATGAAACTAACTTGTGCATCAGTGGCAGTTTGTATGCACATAAAAATTCAAATGTCAGGCATCAGAAATTTATAAGAATAGTTTTAAACAAACTGGTAACATTCATGACCTTGTAAAAAGTCGGTGGCGTACTGTAGGTAATGAGATTGACGACATTATCCTGAATTAGACAGATGATGTATTGAAGACTGAGTTTTTCTCATGTCATTTTGTGATGTTGAAACTTTGAAGTCCAAAATAAGAGATGTGTTTCAGGTGTTACAGGGCAAATGTTGAATAATGTAGTACAGTTCCTAGAAAGAATTACTATATTTACCTTTTCCCAAAACCCATTTATGTGTAAATATAGTGGTTTTCAAGTTTTTAGAATCAAGAAAAGACTTTGCTTACCCATTTTAATCTGGTAGTATTATGTTAAATTTTCAACTTTTGTATAACGAGCTTTCACCATAAAAATCCATACAGCTTGAATGTTACTCAAGTATATCATCTGTATATGTATAACTAATTGTTATTGATGGATACTGGAAATTTTAAAGTAATTATGAGCATATCACATTTTAACTTGTGTATAAAATTTCTGGCACATTTCAAAATTTTGTTACAAATTTAGAAATTTTTACCAAGATTTGAATTAAATGATGAGGGTAATGGAAATGCATAATTATTTTGGAAGATTATATTGCAAAAGTTAATGTTATATTTATAAAATTTTAGTTTAACATTAAATTTAAAATAATATATATGAAATTAGGCTTTATCCTTAGAGATGTCATAGAATATTTACTTTAAGTTCTGAGAGAGGAATTCCTCAAATGCCATTATAAAAATCGTGTGCTGCTTTTGTATATTAAGAACAGAATTAATTAAACTGAAATCTGTGAAAGAATTTTACTGAAGTTTGGTGCATAATCTAAAATTATTAGATCTATCTTTAATGCATTTTGATTATGATAAATTAAGTGTAAGTTTGTTGTGTATCAGATTTCGTGAGTAAAATTAATACTTTTTTAAGTTGAAACTTTTATGGTTTTAATTTATGCTTCAGGTTTGGACACGTTATGTTAACTAGCTGTCTGTAGTGGTAACTAGCTAACTCAGGTATTCCAGTGGCAGCTGGTCACCTATAAAAAATTTAAATATATATGGATCGCATTGGCAATGTTGTTATTACATTGTAATCACTCCTTATCGTTTTTCCTTGAAGGCTTCATCCTGAATGGAAGATATGTTTGAACCAGTGGGTCAACAAACTTGTTTCGCCTCTTGGTAAAAATATGCGCTTTTGTTTCGCTTGTTGTTTTGCACATTAAGCTCTATCACAAATGTTGGTGCTTGTTGTTGTTTTACTAGTCGTACAATTGTTACCACTGTAAAATTGCAAGCAGTTTTATAAGAAAACAATGAATAGTTTCAATTCTTTTAGTGCATTTTTTCACACTGAATTACTACTCTATTTACTTTTATCTCCTAGATAGTGTTTCACTTGTTGAAGTTGGCAGGCTGAAGACAGATTTTTATGAAAATTGCTTACATTTATTAAATAATTTCCCCAGGAAGGAAATATTGTGATATTTGACACCAGTCAAAACATGAATTTTTATTTATCAAGAGTGAAAACAACTTACACCTAGACAAAAACATCAGAACATTATTCACTAAAAAAATGCTCACTGTAAAGAATTCCACGTTTTTTTTTTTTTTTTTCGTTTTTTTTTTTTTTTTTTTTTTTTTTTTTTAAGTGTGTGTGAATTGTTCTGACTCTTGATAAAGGATAGCTGTTAGTAAGTATAACTAAATCTCCTCAGAAAGCTTTCTTTATCAAAGGTTAAAAGAAAAATTTTACAAAGATCAGAAGATCCCACTAAAACTTTTTTACTAGAGAATGTTCTATGGCGTATTTTTTTTTCGTGAGTCTATGAACTATTCTCACTCTTGGTAACAAATAGTTCTTAGTGAGTGTAACTTACTAAGATTTCTGTATTAAAGGTTGTAGAACAAATTTTACAACAACCAGGACATTCCGCTAAAAATTTTCACTGCAGAATATTCTTTCTTTTTTGTGTGTGAACTGTTTTTACTCTTGATAATGGTTAGCTTTTAATGTAACTTCATGTCTAACAAAGTGATCTTTGTCAGAAGTTAGGAGGAGTTGTTTTACGAAAGTCAAAACATTAAATTAAGTTTCCTTTGCAGAGTGCTTTATGATTTCCCTCATTTCTTTGTGTGAACTGTTCTTGCTTGTGATTAGTGTGTGGTGAGTGTAATTTCATGTATTCAGAAAAAAAATTTTTAATCAAAGATTACCTGATGACCAAATTTACCTGATGTTGGAAACATAAATTAATTTTTTATTTAACAAGTTTAACAAAACCCAGAACATTTAGCCAAAAAAATTTTACTATCGAGTTTTCTGTAGCTTTTCTCACCCCTTTCTTTTGTATGTGTTTATGTATTTTTCTCATTCAATGTTATGATAAATGTTAGTTGGTTGTCACTGTAAAACTTCCTTGATCAAGGATTAAAAGAAAAATTGATTTTGCTGAGATCAAACTATCAAAACATTCCACTAAAAATTCCACTGCTGAGGGTTTTGTAGCTTCTTTTCCTTTTCTTCCTATGAATTGTTTTTGCTCTTTATACAGGAAAGCTAGATCTAACTATGGGTAAGAGTAATTTCATGCAGTTTTTAGAAAGCTTCATTTATCATGGGTTAGGAGAATTTACACAAAACAACAAATTTACTTCAGTACCTACTTTAAATTTACCTCAATACTTCACCAAGGGTGGTTAGTATAATAATTTAACACAAAATCACATAAATTTCCGAATATTTCATTGAGGGTTTCCCATTTTCAAGATAACCTTTTTATTATGATGATTATGAAGATTGTATTTTTTTGTAAGGATTTCTCGTTCCCCTTTTGATATAGCAATCCATTTTAACTTTAAAAAAAAAAAAAAAACTTGGGAAAAAAACTTTTTAAGCTGTTGCTGAAAGCACTTTTCATTATATTGGTGACATTTTGACAGAATATAGAATATCCTTGAACCTTGATTGCGTAGATGTTCGTTCAGCTGACTGAAATGTTATTTATTTTCATTACACAAAAGTACAGATGAAGGATTGGGTTCTTAAAATCTTTCTGAAGACCCTGTTGGTAAAGATTTTAGGTATAATTTAATGAATTAATGGACATCTTTCCAAAATTCTTTACATTCAATGAACCATTTCTTTCCTTTAAGTAGTTCATCTCCAACACTTACTATGCATACTTCAAACTCAAATCTGATACTTTTAAGTGAAAATCCAAAATGTATTGCTGATGGTACTGAACTTTTTTTGTTAGGAAAGAAAAGTACTAATGAAGTAGTTTCAAAAAATTTACTTGATGTTGGAAGCAAATTAATTTTTTATTCATTACACTAAAAATTGCATATTTTGCTCCTCAAATGAAATTGTTTTAAAACATGCATGTGTGTATATATTTCACATTAATATCCTAAATTATATGAAATTGTATCTAATTTTTTCTTCACACCTTTTTTAGGCTTTTTGAAATGGGGTGGCAATTACTCCTGTAATTAGGTAATTGATAATGATGATAATTTAATATAGCTTTCATAATTATGTTTTATTTTTATAAAATAAATATATTATAAAAATATAATATTAAAATATATTTTTATTTATACCTTTCATAATTATGTTTTATTAAGTTATGTTTTATTTTTGAAAGCTCAAGTGCAGGGGTTTCCAGTAGGGCTGGGGGCTCACAAAATTCAAAAGGGGGTAAGTGATAAGTGCTGTCCAACCACATATTCCAGATTTATGTAAACACCTGGTTTGGGAGGAAAGTGGGCATATTTATCAGTGATGTGGAGGTCAGTGCAGTAGCTTGATTAGATTTAAATGGTGCTTCCATTTCACGCTCTATCTTTCGAGTGCTGCACAATAGAAAATTTTTGTCTGCGCTTTATACATTTTAAGCTGATGTACCGTGAACTTTTAAAATTCTAGAATTAAATTAAAATGAATAGAAACATCAGATCGTGATCTTTCAAAGAAAAACAAAAGAACTGTAATAGTAAACTATTTGTCTTAATACAATTGATCATCAGTTTATAAATATTTTAATAGATAATGTTAAATTAATAATAATTTAGATAATGCATCTTAGTTAATTTTTAATATTTTCAAACATTGAATGAAAAACTTTTATCTGTTAAATATTCTTTAATAAATTACATTTATTAATATAATCAAATGATCTATAAATAAAATAAAGCAATTTTATGTGAAGAGGTTGCATAACAATTATTTTAGTTTTAATTAAACATGCCATAACTTTTTTCTCCCCTTTACATTTATTTTGGTGACACAGCATTAAGGGTCCTCAGAACTCGTAGAGAATTCAGAATCCGAATTGTCGTTGACACTAAAATTCAATGGTTCACACAATTCCTCTATAATACCATCTTTTCTCTAATATTTAGTTTCTAAATTCCTGACATGGTCACTGTACTTCTTCCAATTGTTCACCGAAACACCTTCAATAGCCTCATTTGTGCAATGTAATAAATTTGACATGCTTATATCTGCAGTCTGACTTCTGACTTCGAACATAATTTTTTACTTCAGCCCATACATATTCTATGGCGTTTATATCACAGAGATATGGTGGGAGTCGCAGAACTGTATGGCCTTGTTCTTCCATTATACAATCAAATTTGAAAGTTTTGACTTTGGGAGCATTTTGTTTCACTAAATCCAGCAGCTCCACTTTTCGTAAATCGGACAAAAAGAAATGTTGTTTTTTGTCAGCCACTGCATTATATCTTCCTTTTTTTGGGAGGCATTGGGGGTTTTTATTTAGCTGCACTGAATGATAAGGTGCATTATCAATAATTATAACAGAATTTGGTGGTAGGTTTGAAATGAACTTCTTGTTTGCCCATTTTTCAAATATTGAAGAATTCATTTGTTCGTGATAATTGTCAGTTGTAGAGTTTGCTTTAAACTAGTATTGGGAATGAAACCCATTTCACCACCAGCACATAAAATTATCAGGCATTCCCTGTTTCTAAAATCCCACTGACTTCATTTGATTGGCAGCATTTTACAAACGTTAAATTGCTGTCCACCCATGTTTCATCTATGTAAATTAGGTGAGGGATTCTTCTCTGTACCTTTTAATATTCCTCAAATACATTGTTCTTGACAAAACAGTGTCAGGTCTTTCTAGTAAAACGCTTCTTTTATTCCGGGACTTTTTCCAGATGAAAACAATTTCTTGGAGAATCTTTCTTAGCATTTCTCTTTGCAAAGGAAAATTGATTGTGTCTTTTAATACAGGAAGTAGTTTGGTTATAGTTGGCACTTTCTTTTCCTTGACATAAAAGTTTTGAACTGCTCGTCTTAAAATATCCAATTCAAAATTATCTAAGCCTGTACTTACAACAGTTTTCTCTCTCTCTCTCTTTTTTTTTTTTTTTTTTTTTTAGAAGAAGAGAATTTAACATTTTCTTTACTTTCAGATACTTTACGAAATCTGTTTATGCTGGCAATCGAAATGCCAGTCATCTTACTCGCTCTGCGTAACTGGGATGGTGGTCAGTCTTACTAATTGTGATTCTTCATCGCAAACTTTAATCACGTTATACACTAATTTCTTAAAATCGCTGCAGAAAGGTTTATTTCTAGAGCTTTCTGGAACACTAGAACTCATTGTAAAAATGAAGATTTGAAAGTCAAAGAAGGTTCAGTTACAGTGATGCTCAACGATTGTAAGAAAAAGCACTAAATGACCCCGATCTCCGAGAGGAAAAAATACCTGCGCTTTTCACCCACACCCTGTGATACTTCTTAAACAATTTGAAGTAAACTCAAATGATGGAACACAGCAATAACTTTTATTTTACACTAAAAAAAAAAAAAAAAAAAAAAAAAAGAAGGAAGAAAAAAAAAAAAAATGGCAACATACAAACAAGAGAAGAAAAGGTATAAAAACTTATTTAAAAAGATAATTACACGCTTTGTATGAGAAAATGCATGTGGCTTTCGAGCCTGTGTTTTGATATTGCCAGTAACCTGTACATTATTCATTATTCATCTATTTCAAATGCACGAGAGATTAATAACCATATTAAAGCTGTTACAACCGCTACGACCTCTGAGAGGGAAAAATACCCATGCTTTTCACCCACACCCCTTCAATTAAACTGACCCATCTTGGCTCTCAGCCAAACTGCTCTCGCTAGTGTGGTTAAACAGTAATGGTCTGATTGGGGTTTGGTAGCCATACATGCACTGGCAATTCATTGGCATAATGAAAATACCATTGATCACAAATATTAATAAAATTGATGTTTACTGAGGTAAAGCTGTATCATGTAGTAAGAAATTGTATAAAATAAATATAAGGGACAAAATACATTAAAATTATTTAATATATTTTAATAATAATTGTTTTCCAACATCAGGTAAATTTTTGGAAACTGTTGCATTAATAGTTTACATTATCAACAAATAAAAGTTCAGTATGATCAGTAATACTTTTTGAAAATAAAATATAAAAGTCAATAATATTTTTTAATATATAAATTTTCATCTAATAAATGCAATGAAAAAATTAAAAAGCAAAAACACAAGAAGACAATTAAAAAATTATGAAGAATGCAAAACTGGAATGGAAGGTAAGAAACAGATAAGATATTTTTGAATGATGAGATTTAAAACTTAAATTACACAATTTTATACCAAATATTAAAAAATTGTATAAATACCTCAAGGCAGCTATCACATGAATTAAAATCAAACTTTTGTGCCATTCAGATCTCCAATTTTAACATTATTTTTTTAAAAAAATTGTTGCTATTCGTAGTTGAATTGTTATCGTTCAGTTATTTGTTGGTATTATTTCAGTTATTTTGTATCACCATTATGTTGTATGTTATAGAGGAAACTGTAAAGGTATCAATCAATAAATGTCTTTTAAAAGGGGTCAATGCAAGAAAAAAATTCAAAATCTCCGATTTAAATCCTTCTACAAAAAGACGGAAAAATTTTTAATTATTTTTTACTTTTTTATGTACTGTAATAACATTTTGCTTTTTCTTCTGGCTTTCCCCTTTCCCTTTTTTAAAAATCTGTTATGAGTTCTGCAGCATTGTTAGTTTACGCTATATTTAATTGACAAATGAACAGGCTTTCTTGATTTTTCCTCATGTGATGTGAATACTGGTGTCAGCTTCCTTTAGAAAATCCTGCTCCTGCTCAAAGATGTTCCTCTGCTTAGCTTCACCAGGTGATCAATGTAGGATAAGATTTACCGCTTTATTTGTTTTGTAGATAGTTATTATAGTGATAATTACCCTCTGCCATTTAATTGCACATTGAAATTTAAAAACAGCATTTTAGTCCAAGAAATAATTAACTAACTAAAAGCAATTGATCGTATATTACATGATTACATCTTCATGTGTTTTCCTGTAGTCAAATAGTCCAATCCAATGAAATCATTCTTCATCTTATAGAATGGTGAATGTTACAGTTTTAATTTAATTTTTATATTTCTAAGTATTATATGAATATACAGTTTTGCTTTGTATTGAAAAATATCTGTAGTATTCTATTGATACAAAATATTGAAAATATCATTCCAAAAGTTGAAAGTGGTGTTTTAAATATTGTAAATCTTCTGAAATTGGCATATTAATATTAAAGAAGAATGTCTGTGTTTGTGATATTAACTTTGACGTTTAAATAGATAGTTCATAGTTTAATGTTTATGATTTTTCCATTTGTATTTTATTTTTATTTCCATATTTGCTTGTGTATTTCCCTCCTTTTTCTACGAATTTTACAGCTGGAAAATTGGGAAAGGGAAAACGTGCTGCATAAATGCTTCTGGAGACATGACTTAAATGATAAACATAGCAACACATAATTGTATATTATTCCATTACATAATGCAATGATATTATACTCTAATGTTATTGAAGTACATTATGCAACAATATTACAACTCTCATGTTGTTACATTATGTATTTCAAAGGATTTATTAATTTCTTACTTACACAAAATACTTTCCAATTTATGCTCGCATTGTACTTTGTTGCCATAAATCAGTTTCTAGACCATATGCTGAAAAAACTAGGGGGAAAGTGTATGAAGAGGAGAACTTTATGAGTAAATAACAATATTTATTTTTGACTATTGTAATCACAGTTTATAATTGTTTAGCCAACTGTACTATATAAAATGCAGTATTCTCTCTGTACTTTCCTTTTTTTTTTTTTTTTTTTTTTTTTTTTTTGTTCTTTAATTCTAATTAGAACATATTTTTTACCATCTTATGATGGTAGCAGTACTTTTCATGTGTATCTGAAACATTTTATGAAGCAGTTGTAAAACTTTTTAGCAGATACTAAAGAATTACTTATTAATGGTTCTGTTTTAAAATCAGTGTGAAAAAATGCTTGGTCTAGGATGGGGGAACAAAAACTTCACTCATCATTCTGAATGTTAGTTTAGTTTGTGCGTGTTCAGGTAATTTTTTAAAACATTTGAACCTGCATTTGTAGTAGAGCTTGATTTGTAGTATTATCTTGAAACTCCCATGTACTGCTCATTTTTAATCTTTTTTATCATCTTATTTCAGCGTATGGACCTAGGAGAGTGTCCCAAACTTCACGACTTGGCCTTGCGAGCTGATTATGAAAATGCAGCACAAAAAAAAGATTACTTCTATGATGTCGATGTAAGTATCTTGATACTGCAAAAGTCAAGTATACAAAATTAAGGCAAAACAATAAACAGTAACTAAATTAATCTCTCCAGGAACATTAACATGTGTATACATTTTGTTTTCTTACATATATATACATATATATATATTACTGATGATCACTCTCTGTATCCATTAGTACATTTAAATATAAATAAGTAAAAAGTAATAAAGAAAAGTAGTATGGCTTCATAATTATATCGAGAAATAAACAAAATGTGAATTTCCTAAGGTCTTATGCAGCTTCTGAAAGTAGAACTGAATTTCTGTTTTGGGAAACAGCAGATTAAATGAATATTATTGGGGAAGAAAAAAGAAGTAAACCACCATGCCAGTTTATAATTGGGTTTCACTGAACAGTCACTGTAAAAGTGAACAATTTAGTCATATGGCAGCAATAGTATAGTAAACTTGGAAGTGCCTGGGGATAAGTTAATAACTAGCAAAGTAAATTAGAACTGTCAGCATGGCTTAACTAATAAGCCCATTTTGCTTGTGGGCCAGCATCTCATTGGCGAAGAAAAGCCATAAAGGGGGGGGAAGAGTCCGAAAGCATATTAATCTCCATAGATTTATAGGAGCATTTTTCTGTATTGAACCAAAATAATAGCTGCAATTGAATTCTGGAACAGTTTAGACCAATGCTAGAAATTGATTGGTATGTGCTATGTTCATAAGGGTTGCAGCAACATATATTCACATAAACCCAATAGCCAGTTTTCAGACTTATGCAATAGAGGACATTAAAGTAATAGTAAATCATAATACATTAACTTTAAAATTTGGAAGTAGTTATATGCATTGATAATATTCAACCCTTTAAAAAGTGCATGCCTTTGTTTAAGGCTTTTATCCCGGGACAGATGGAAATCAAAAGGAATCGTATCACAGGATAGGGGTTTTGCTTTGCTAAGCTTAACTTTAGGGAAGGGGGGAATCACATGCCATTTTAAGTTATTACCTAAGCTATTTATGTGCATAGAAATTAGCATTTAATAATCTTTTTCCTTTCCTTTACACAAAAATATATAAAAAAATTGTTTACTCTGAGAAATAATTTTCTGAAGCACAATTGGCAAAATACATTAATATAAACTTTAAGATTGATAAAAAATAAGACTATTTACAAGTAACAAAATCTTTCACGAGAAATGGTAGACAAACATCTCTGACAAAATGTCCATATCAGAATCATTACAAATATCACTTTCTAACACTTTAAAAAATGAATCATCACTCTCATCCATGTCACTAATTGGCTCATTTACCATGTGAGTATATCCTTCCTGTGATAAAATAATGCTTGCTTGCCATAATAAACTGAATTTGAGTTTTTCTAAAATAAAAAGGGAAATGCATGAAATGTAAGCAATAAAAGCAGTGCAAAGTGTAACAGAACACCTAGCAATCCTAAAAGACCCTACGCCAACCAGCGGCCGAGCGGTAAAGTTGCTGAACACTGGTAGTTCGGTCCGAGGTTCGAATCCCGCGAATGGGCTGGCTGCATGGGCGTTTTCATGGTTTCCCCCATGTGTACAGTGTATACGAGACAGTTTCCCTTAGAAAGTCCTTCATGAAGGCATCCCTTCCTTTGGGCAGATAGCCCTCAAGGCTTTGCCATAATCACATATACAAACCACACAATAAAAGACCCTACATAGTTGCGAAAAAGAGGATTCGAAGGGATATCAGAAATGCAAATTGTAAGTCATGTGACGATTAAAGAGTCAAGCTCTGTTTACATTATGCTTTCCCTCCTTCCCTGCAACAGCTGACACCAAAGTTAGGCAGAGTGTGATTAAACTGAAGTTCAGGATCCTAAAACTATGTTCAGTTCAAAAGTAATTTACTCAGAACATCAACTAGTGGTCTTTAAAAAATGGTTCAATATGCATCACTCATTCCCTAAGCTCATTCTTTAGTGATGCAATGGGCGGATGCCCAGCTCTGAGAAAAAATGATAGGGAAGGCATATGTGAAGCACCTGGTAGAAAGGGTTAAACTTTGCTCAATAACTACAGCTGTATTCTTGAAATGACTGGACATGTATTAGAATGTATATGTGATGATTCTAAAAAAATATGGAACTTGAAAATCCTGTAGCATATTGTGACAAAAATTGTATGGAACACTACGTTTGCGAAAAATGTGATGATCCAGTATGTTCTGAATGTTGCAAACATTTTTATTCATAATTTGCCATTAACATTCAACAGTCACATAAATTATTATTGTGTTTTTGATTTTTTCCCCCCTGTGTGTGTGTGTGTGTGTCGTTTTCAGCCCACTTAATCATTGCCAATATGAAATGAATATAACTATTAAAAAATCAAATACTGTTATAGTAATGAACACTTTTAAAACAAAAATTATGATCAAAATGTACGGGAGTGTGTTATACGCCGGGTATAAAAATGATAGTTTAAAAATATGGAAAAAATCGGCATACAAAAGTTACATTTTTACATGCACTTATGCTGTTTATTTAAAAGAAATGACATACCTTTTGAACTTAAAATCTTTCCATTATCGGATACATGAAAAGTTTGTGTTCCATTATAGCTTCAGGCACATCATTGGTTTCTGTATCATCTTTCATATCACTGTTACTCTGGTCCATAAATAAATAATTATCATCTGTTCCATCTTTCACCAACACCAAGCATTCTTCCTGCAGCACGATTTCAATTTCTTTCTGAACTCCAAACTTCCAAACTGAATGACTTTGCATTTGGAATCAATACTCTTCTGTTTCATTTGACAGGAGCCATATTTACTACTAAAATGAATGCTAGATTAATTGTATTTTAACTAAAAGCTTTGATGTTCACTTCAAAATGGCCACAGAAAGGGAAAATATCTGAATCATAACTCAGTAAAATCTTTCAAGTTGGAAGTTCATTCTTTCTCCAAATTATATCCGGCTTTTCTCGAAATCCTACAATAGCATTCTTTTGGGCACTTGTGCTGAGTACAGTGCATCATCTTTACATGTATGTTTACTCCCTTAAGCATTTAACCCACACACATATTGTTCCCCTTATCGATTGTAAGTTCTGTATACCATTTTTTGAAAGGCTAGAGCAAATCTTGAAATGAGTGACCTCAAAATATAAGAGCATTGCACATGTATCTTTTAGGATATATGGCAAATATACCTAAAAATTAAAAAGTATAGCTCAGAATTATAGATGTATGTTATACGCTGGGAAATACAGTAATTTTTATGGGCCCTTTAAAAATTTTGTGGCTCAAAAACATAGAAATTCTAACACTAAGAAAGGAAATTAAGATATGTGCAGTTCTGGAGAGATAAAACGCAGTTTTTAATTGTAAGGATTATTATAGCATGTTTTTTTTTCTATTGTTAATTTTCTTACTGTCATTTTTGCATAGTTTTTTGTTTTCTTACATTTAAAAAGAAAAATAATATATGTACAGTAGGCACCACTTAGTATGGTCGTGCTCGTCCAAGGCTATTTTGATAACATTAAGTGATGAGGAAAAATATCTTTCAAAACATAAATGGAATGTACAGCTATGTGAACTTATTTAATATAAATACTTCAAGAAACATACAGGGTGAATCTGAACAAATCTGCAAAACTTTAGGGGGTGATAAGAAGCAGCTATACGAGCAATATCCATCATAGAATGTGTGATCGGAATGCAAACGGCGAGCTCCTAGAATTCCATTGTGAATGGTAAAAAAATGGCGGTCCTCGCACTCAGCAGGGATTGCCAGGAGGATGTCTGGTTATATGAACTATGAAATGGCCAATATGCACTTTGTGTACGGTGCAGCGGACGGGAATGCGAGTGAGGCACAAAGACTTTACTGGGTTCATTTTCCATTGAAACACACTCCAAATTGGAAAACTTTCAAGCGTTTGCAACGGCAGCTGTGTGAAAAGGGATCTTGTGCCACAGCCAAGCAAGGCACAGGGTATGAAAGGAGCATCAGGGCACCGCAACTTGAAGAAAACATTCTGCCTGGGATGAAAGGTCAACTGGGATGTAGCATGCGAGTGGCGCTGTTCTGGAAGCATACCTCAGTAAATGCACCCTTAATTGATTTTTCCGTGAAGGGAAAAAAAAAAAAAAAGCACACCTGTTGGAAATGGCACAGGAAATGTTCACCTTTAGAGAATTGTCTCCAAAATTGTAAATTTTGACAATTAACTTTGCTAGAGGTGTAAAAAGGAGCTTCATTCGTAAACGTGAGTCTGTTTGTGAAACCACATAGCTCCAAAACCACCTCCAGCTTATCTTGAAAATTCTTACCAAAAGCTTTATGCAATGGTTTGCTAGAAGATTTTAACACTTCTACTATCTGAAATGGCCGGAATTGCAGACATTTCTGTAACACATGTCACACAATTACATGAGGCACGTTGAGTTTAAAACTTGCACGACATTTTGATTTTGTGGGACTTCATAAAAACACTTCACGAATTTTTTGAACCACTTTGGTTTTGGCTGCAGTTTTTCCTGGCCTGTTTTTTTTTACGCAAGCAGCCCGTGTTCTGAAACTGCTTTACCCACTGTTTGATGTGACAATGCGGTGGTTTTTTTTATCAAGTTTTGTGTGAAAATATCTTTGAATGATGATGTTTTTCCATATTAAAACCAAAATGCTTTCTTAACAGTGCTTGTAGCGGCGGTTTCATAACAGGAAGATTTTTTACTTTGCCAGATAAAACTTGTAAAATTGTAGTTTCAAAATTAATTTGTTTCAGCTTAATAAATCAATTACAGAATTTTTACTACACTCTTCGTTTTGTCCCATCCAATATGAAACACCTTGTATAATTGGAAACATATTAATAGGAATAGGGACTTTCACAGCATTTTAATTCAGAAAATCTAGAAGTTCGTTTATGAACTGAAAATTATTTGACCGATACCCTAACCTTAATATTCAAAGTGCCTCCCTTATCTGAAAATAACAAACCAATATAAAACTTTTAATTCAGCAAAAAAGCATCCTTAGTTTTTTGTAGATGTTTTCAAGGAATTTTTTCCTCCAGGGAAAAAGAAAATTTTTGCAGAACTTTGCTCCATGAAGAAGAAAGACTTATATCTGATTGCCTTCAGAATCGATAAAGATGTTCAAAATTTTTACTGTAAATGGTTGACTGAAATCAAAACCAAGCTGATTGCTAATTTAACCCATAACTTGGCTATATTTTTCAATCACAGGCCAATTTTTTAAATCTGTTTTGTCTTTATTTGGGGAATTTTCTTTTATTTAGCAACTTTGTATTAGTTTACAAAATTTAATCTTTAAAAGTTTGTTCACGATATCCAAATTATTGATCTCAATAAGTGATATATTTTCATGTTTTTGTATACAAACATGAGGGATTTCGGTAAATCGATAGCAGTATGTTAAATTAATGTGTAGGGCACCTATAATATATTAAATTTAAAAAAAAAAAAAAAAAAAAAAAAAGAGAGTCTGGTGTATAACATTTGGCAGTGGAGATTTTGTTAATAGATTTTGTTATTTAGGCCCACCACACTTTTATTATTTGCAATATAAATTATGGCTGAATTCTGTCAATAGAATTATTTTACTCCTTTTAGTGCATTTATTGTACCCATTTTAAATATTATCTTGTCATATAAAAACTTTTTTAAGATTGTAATTTATATTAGTATATCTATATATGTCACTATTTTAATAACACTAATCTTAATTTTTCAGCACTGATTTCAGCTGTCAACTTTTGGTGTTTGTGAATTTTATATTTAATTTATTATATTTTCTCAAAATATCTATATATATCAGTTAAGTGTCAATAACCTTAGTTTTTTTGTCATATTAGTACCTAAAACCCTATGCTAGTATACCTTTGGTTTCAACCTTTGGTTGAGTGAAACGTTTTAATAATATAGTGTGATTGCAAATTCTTTTGAAGGGGGCAACCAGAAATGCTAATATTTAGGTTCTGCTTTTTGCATTGAGAATTAAGACTTTGAGTGGTATTGTTATTTACTTTTTAATATTATGCTTTCAAAATGTCAGCTAGGTGTAAAATAGATACTTAGCTAATATATCGTTGTTTAACAAAATGCTTTGTAATAGTATATTGCATTTTTAAATACCTAATATTATATTCTCATTATGCAAGAGAAGCCATCTATATGTTATTGCCTACATAAATATCATTTTTGTGCAATTACCATCTCTAGTCATTGAAAATGAAAGTTATTAGCGATAGGTTAGTGCAATTTATAAACTGTTATTTACCTAAATTTTATGCATTCTTGAAATAACCACTTTTTTCTTAAATTTTTCAATAGGTCTAGAGTGTAATTTGTAATTTTTTTAAATTCTTGCAAATCCTCTGAATTGTTGAAAAGAATCCACATTTAAAATCACTTATGGTAGTAGTAGTTTCTTGCATGTTCTGTGAAGTATTTTTGATAAATTGCAGTGCTGGTTCCATATGGATTGATTTATTGCTGTTTGCAATTTTTAGGCAATGGAGCATTTGCAGAATTTCATTAACGAATGTGATCGTCGAACAGAGCAAGCTAAGAGGCGATTGGCGGAAACTCAAGAAGAGCTGAGTGCTGAGGTCGCTGCTAAGGTAATGAAAGGTTTGCATTTGACTTTATTTTTTTTTTTAAAAGTTTATTATGTAGTGTAACTTTAGTAGTGTAGTGTGTGTTTATTACAAGATATACTAAAGGGCCATTCAAGGATAGAGAAGATTATGCAAGCATTATGTCTGTACTGCCACATTTCTGCATATGTGAGGTCATTGTTGTAGGATAAGAATTCCTAATCTTTTTATGCTTAGAGACCCCCTGAGTCCAAACTTCCCTGAACCAGCCATGGATTTTTTTAATACATAAAAAAGGGGGGAGGGGTGTACAAAATTTTACAGTTTCCTTTGCAACATAAGAAAAATTTCCTACATCAGTTTTTTTTTTTAAACTACCAGATTGTTCCACCAACATTCCTTGCTTTCTTAAAAGAAAGCCTTGTCCTGTCATGCCTACTGGCACATTACTCAACCCCTCCCCCCTTTTTTTGGTGTGTGTGTACACATTTTCTGTTACATCTGAGATGACTCTGTAAGGGCTTTCTCCCTCCTTACCATGTGCCTTCTTGGTGTGAGTAGAAAGCACGTCTGCGTAGCAGTCGAAAATGTCCAGAGTTCTGATGAAGGGTATTGTACATTTTTCATGTTTCCTGATTGAATAAACCTGAGGACTAACTTGTTTATATACAAGCATTATTGCTGTGTGGTAGAAGATTTGAAATCTTGCCAAAATATATTTTACACTATCAATAGTGTAATGACTGAAATATATTTCATGCTAAGAATTGTGCTAAATCTGAACTGTGCTGTGTGTTTAAGAACAGATTTCAATTCATGTGAATCCACTGAACAATTTTAGGCATTTTGTATTATTTATTGCAAGCATTAGTTTCTGTCAACTGTATTGTCAGTGTTGAATACATTTGGAATTTGTTGCATTTTAGTTGACTTCTGCAAATGATGCCACTGCATTTAATTCTTAAATTTAATATTCAATACGGTATAGGGGTTTCCAGTGGGATTAATATTGATCCCCTGGGTTTGGTGGAACTTTAAAAGAGGTTAGTAGCTAAATATGTACCGTAATTGTTTGCTGTAATTAAGATTGATTAAGCATTAGATACAAAGAAATTAGCTATGAAATCGCTGATTATTATTATTATTATTATTATTATTATTTTTTAATTTTTAAAAAGCTGTGTCATATAGAAAGAAACATAAAATGGCTGAATGAATCAATTTTTGACTGCTGTAAACATCTGAAACCGCATATAGTGAACTATTTTCTGTCCACATTATCTTATGCTTTGTCCAACCACTGTAGCTACACTTTACATCTGTAGCTCTGTTTGTACATTAACTTATCATTTCATGAATTTATGTTTTAAGTTGTGAGCCAAGTATGCATTCTTCTCTTCAAATTAAAAGATAATGAAATAATGGAAATTACATTACTTTTGCAGTAATAGCAGTGAAGAAAATAATTTTTTCTCATTGTTATGTTGTCAACAACTTATTTCAGTTGCTGGACAACAATAATTTGCTGTTTTCCTACTTGACTAATAACATTTATGAAAAACATGTTAGAGCAACATTTTTTTTATAAATACTTTTACGATAGCAAAACAAAAATTAGAACATTACAACTTTTACAATTCAAATAAATTAATTGTATTTTAAATATAATCAAATTATTATTATCGTAGTTATTCCAGTGCTTGCCTTTCTCCCGCATTTCTAAAATTTGTTTACCTTTATAAATAATAAATAAAGAAAAAGTGGAGGGAGAAGATCTTTAATATAATAAGTGGAAAATTTAATTAATAGAATTGTAATGCAAATGATTATGGAATTTTACTAAATTCAGAAATACTCTCAAACCTGAATTCTTTCAAATGGGGAAAAATTCCTTTAAAAAATTCCTTATGTTTATTCTTCGGTATATTAATTTTATTTTATTTTGTTTATTTGTTTTTGAGGTGGTGTAAATATTAGAATTTCCATTTTTATTGAAAGTGTAAGGAGATTTTTTTGTTGTTTTGTTTTTTGTCTAATTCATTCCATTTACTGTTGTGATAAAATTTGAGCATCACTAATATTTATGTGAATCTGTTACCAGTTGAACAAAGTCCATGAACTAGCTGAACAGATTGGGAAGAAGCTGGCACAAGCCGAAAAATTGGGAGCAGAAGGAAATGTGGAAGAATCCATGAAAACCATGGAAGAAGTAGAGGAATTCCGAAAGCAGAAAGCACTGGCAGAGGTTTGTATATTGAAAGTTCACCATTTAGCATTTTATACTACAGTGTTTTGTGTATTTATAGATGCTGACAAAATATCCATATTCTTTTAAAAATTATATTCTAGTAATACTTTTATAATATTATGTACTCAGTATTCCTTTGGTGTAAATGAATTGTTTCAAGAAGATTTTTATTTTATGAGGAGTTTATCCAGAAAATTTATCTTAAAACTTATGTTTTGTATCTTTCATTTTATTTTAAGGAAATAAGTCAGCAACCTTTTGGTAAAAATCCTGAAGAAGTGTATTTTTGGTTTTGAGGTCAAGATTTTGCTGAAAATTGCCACATATTTCTGTGTAAAACCAATAATTTTTAACAAAAACTTTGCCTTATGTTTCAGCTTTTAAAGGCATTTAAAATATTTTGCAAGCACAGTAGGCACCACTTAATGTGATCATGTCCGTGGCTGTTTTGATAACATTAAACGATGACCGGAAAAAGTATCCTTCAAAACAGCAATGGAATTTCACTCATCTTTATATATATAAGTGGCTAAAGTGTGTGTCGCCGATAGTTTATTGTTGTCACTCGGAAAAATGAGCGTGGAAATTAATGTTTCCACAGTTTTTAATTAATATCTCAGCTGATTAAAGTCGTATGAAGAGGAGAATGGTATCGATGGATTCGGAGAATTTTTTGGAATCCTAGGATACGCGTCTCCAATTTCGACTTGGCGCCGTTCCGTAGATATTCGAGAAAAAAGAATTTGACACATAGCCAAATCCCTGAAATAGGGAAAACCCAAGGAAAAAAGTGGAAAATGTAGGGAAAACTTAGTTTTTAATTAATATCTCGGCTAATTAAAATCCCAAGAAGACGCAAATGGTCAAAATGGCATGCCATGGACCTGCGGAATCCAACGGTGTGCTTCGCTAAGTCCGGCAGCCTGCCGTTTCGGAGGAGAAGATTATACTTCACCCCATATATATATATATATGTATGCGGCTTAAGTGTCTGTTTGTCGCCGATATTTTATTGTTTGCTTGCGTAACTGTACTAGCCAATGGGGGTGAAGTTGCCACGGCACAGGGTTCCCGTTTCAATTGAGATGTAAACAATTTCCTTTAAAATTTGCTTTTACTATGACCATCCATAAGTCTCAGGGCCAATCGCTTAAGCGTGGTGGCATTTTTTTACCTTAGCCTGTATTTAGGCACAGTCAACTTTATGTTGCTTGTTCAAGAGTTCGTGAAAGAGCGGACGTAAAATTAAAAATAATTGATGGTCCTCTGCAAGGCGAGCTTAAAAATGATGGAAAGATCTACGTGAGAACTGTTGTGTACAAAGAGATCTTTGACATATGAATTAACATTTCATTATTTAAATCACCTTTATTGATTGAGCTAGCGGTGGGCTCTTAAGAAATGCACCGCCGGTGGTTTCCTTCATTGACTCTACTTTAAGCAAGTAGAAGGGGGAAACCCCGTGGGGCAATAAGCAAAGGGGCGGCCTCGCCGCCTGCCCAGGTTAATTTAGTTTAAATTAGCAGACACCTTTGCAAAATCATTTTAATGACAGTTTATAATGTCTAGAACAGCGGTCATTTCGTATGACCGCCGGCTTTCTAGTTTAATATAACTAGAAATATATAATAATGAGGCACTTTTACAACATTTTAATTTGAAAAATGCAAAAGTTTAAATAATTAACTGAAATTGAAACCAAGCTGCTTGACAACTGAATCCTTTACTTGGCGACATTTCTATGTCACTTGGCAATTTTATAATCTATTGTGACTTTAATATCACGTCATTAGTTGTCTGTATTTAAAAGCATTTTTTGGTGTTATATTTTTCTTTGAATTAAACTGATATGATTATAACTCAAGAGATAACAGATTTAAAGTTTTATGTTTACTGCAAACAGGGAGTTTGTTGTAGAATTGTTTAGTAAAACTTTGAAATGTTGCAAAATGTGCGAAAAAACGTGCTTGTGTGTAAATGAAAAATTAAGAGCTATATTCACAATTGAATTAAATCCAAAGTGAACATTTTTAAAAACATTAATTAGCTTCAAAGTAAGATATGAAAAAAGTATTCTGTAATATAGAATTAGTGAAGTTATAGAAAGTTTTTAAATTTAAAAATAAAAAATACTGTGGAAAATAAAAGATAAATTTTATAATTCAGTGAATCCTCGTATCTCAAACTTCTGTCATCATGGACAATTATTTGATTCGCAAACAAATTATCTGAGCAAAAACTGTGTCAGCTGATGAATGCTGTCTCAGGTTACAAACCCTCGCATCGGCAACATTTTCAAAAGTGTTTTATTGTAACCTATGACACAGAATTAACACTCCAAAACTTCTGGAAACATCAGTGTACTATTTTTCATTTAACTATTATTAGCAAAGCTTGGCAGTTACAGGCCCATGAACTCAACTAGGAGGAAGCTATGGCCAGATTGGACTATAGCTCCCTCAAGAAATAATTTATCCGGGCAAGAGATAAATTTTGCTTACTGAATATTTATAAAAACATATATATAAACACTAATAACACAAAGGGAAAATATTCAAATTTATAATTAGTTTCTGTCTGAGGTTTATATCCGTAAGAAATTTTTGTTAACTACATTTTGTAATTCAAGTATATTAACAACTAAATAGTAAATTTTCAGACCAATATTTATTTCAGGTAATTTATAATATGTTGAAATGATGAATAAATAACTTACTTTAACCAGAAAACATGACATTTAAGAATACTGAAGCAGCACTGTCAGCTGGAAAACTAAATTTACAGACTCTACCGGGAAATTATCCCATGTTATGTATTCACATGGCTTGACACGATACAAAGCATAAAAAGCCCCAACCTGTTAATTCACCCCCCTTCAATAGCTTTTTAACAGATAAGAACAGTACGTAGCATTTGAGCATATAAGCACCATTTTTATAAGCGGTACAGAATTAAAATGTATTCACAGGGCACATAATATTGTGTCTTTAAGTAAAACCAGGGTGTAGGGCAGTTGGCAACATTTTTTACAAGGAGGGTGTATTTCAGAAATGCAGGAGTTTAGTGAGCCACTGATGAAATTTATTTTCTGCATTTTATAGCAGTTGCAGCAGTTTAAATTGCAAGAATAATTTCTCAGTAATTTTGGTTATTATGTTGCATGCAATCTACTGCTTTTATTTTTTCATCATTTCTTTTTGTCATCATTTTATCACACATTTAATTAGGAAAACTATTGGCCATTTTATTTTTTGAAACTGTTTGTATTTAAATTGGCTAAAGGGAAGAATAAGGGACATGCCAGATTTGGTGATTTCAGTGTTAGATAATGATTTTACCTTAATACTTGTACTTTTTCATTTATTTCAGAAACTTTATTTTTTGATAATAAGAATTGTATAGTCTATGCAATGTTTGATATGTGCAATCTAGAGGTTGTGCAATTCTCTCATGTTGTTTTAAGTGAAAACAGATTGTTGTGTACATGGGGAGAAAACAATAATGCATAGAATATAATGTACAGTGTTGAAAGCGTGCAAGCCAAATTTGTGCAATCGCTGCATACATGGGAAAACAGTAGTAAAATATGTTACGCATCTTTTTTTTTTACTTTTAATTTGTATTTTTGTATTAAATATAAATTGTACTTTTAATCATCATTTTTGTATTTTAAATTTTGTTTTAAATTGTTTTCTTTTAAAATGACGACAGTGTTTGCCGAGTTATATATATCAACTGCTTAGCAATCTTTGAAAAAACTCGCTAAGTCAGCTGTTGGAAACTTTAACCTTTTTAGTAGTTAGTTTTTAACCTTTTTAGTAGAAGGGGGAAACCCCGTGGGGCAATAAGCAAAGGGGCAGCCTCGCCGCCTGCCCAGGTTAATTTAGTTTAAATTAGCAGACACCAGATTATTTACTTTTTATATTTAGATATATTCTCAGATTATTTACTATTATATATATTCTCAATATTATTATTATATATATTCTCAGATTATTTACTTTTTATATTTAGTGCATTATGAAATTAATTAATGGAATCATTTTCATGTATGTATTCTTAATTATTTGTCGTTCCACATTTAAAAATACCATTTCAGTGAGACCATCAATGAAATATAAAGTAGATTGCGTATTGCATGTAGAGCACTGATTCTTAACTCACCAATGCTAGATGTTCATTTCCTCCCCCTTCTTCTTTCTGAAACTAACTTTTGATTATATTTTAATGTCTTTTATAAACTAAGCAAGAAGGAGTATAGAAAATGTTGATAAATACCAAAACTTAGATAAAAGTAAATTTTTATATTCATAAGCTAAAACTAAATAGTTAACAGGAAATAAAATACTGACCGAATCCCCTACTTGTTGAGAACCTGTGATATAGATGATATCATCTATTCCTTCTGAAAAATTGTAGGAGTCTTTAACTGTTAAAATTCTTTCCTTTCTACAGCAAGAGTATCGCAATTCTATGCCCGCTTCGAGTTACCAGCAACAAAAGCTGAGGGTTTGCGAAGTCTGTTCAGCATATTTGGGCATCCATGACAATGACAGAAGATTGGCAGACCATTTCGGTGGAAAACTTCACTTGGGATTCATCACGATCAGAGAAAAACTGGAAGAACTCAAAGTAAGATTTTTCTGTGCTTCAAGTGTATTGAAGCAAGCAGTTTTTGTTTTTAAAAAATAAGTACTGTATTTCCTTGTGTATTTTCTCCCTAGCTGTTTAGTGCTAGGTTCTGAAAATTTTAAATCTTGCATTATTTTTCCTTTCTTTACTGTAATTAGTATTTCCATCTGAGGGGTAGGTTATGTGGTATATTGTATATACTCCTTTGATTATTTTTATTTTTATTTATAGTATTGAATTTGTGTTTGCACTTTTGTATTAGCATTTCATTTTCAAATATACTTTGTGCAGATTCTTCATTAAGCTACCCAGTTGTGATGGACATTCTCACATTTAACAGACTTTTCAAACATGCAAGTTCCCTTTACATCTGTTATTTACATCTCAGCTCGTTGTAACCTTATCCACTGCTTATCTGTTTGATCTTTCAAAATTCGAGTCTTTTGTTCACCTCCCTTCGTCATAGTTCCTCCAGTGTCTCTCTTGGAAACTGTGGTTGAGACTCATTCATGCGAAGTAGCATTGGGAAATTTATAAGGTAACAGAGCCAAACCTGGTTCAGTTACTGTCAGATATTACTTACCACTAGTTAATGAAAGGTTCTATGTATTCTATGTATTCTTGTTGGAAAGTAGGTTTCTTTTAAAGAAATAATTCTGTGAATAGTTACCACGAATATTTTTCATTTGCATGTTATCACAGTAACCACATTCTTTGGAAATTAAAATTACTCATATGCTTTTTCTCCTTTGTTTTTCGCGTGACAAAATTAATTAGAAAAGGGGGTATATAGTATTCTGAATTTTGTGACCATTAATCAAAATTTCTTTTCTCTGAATTCTGTTTCCATTTTTTGCTCTGAAAGATCAGCCAAAACCATATTGCTAAAAAAATTTAGTGCCAAGTTGTCTTTTTTTCCCCAAATCTATAGGTAATGGTAAATTTATAAAGAGAGTGGATTACAGAGAGTAATTGACTAATAGCAAAAGAAAAAAATATATAAAAATGGGGGAAAGAGAGAGAAATGCTTTATTTTCTCGGGCATTTCCATTTTTTTAAAAATAATTTTATCATTTAAAAATCAGAGGAGGAAATTGGGTGAGTTTCCAGAGTAGTCATGGATAAACATAAAATATATTCATTATTTATGCACGTAGTTTATAATTCATCAAGATTATAATTCATAAAATGTAGTAATTTTATCCATCCATTGCAAATTATTATTTTATAATGTGAAATAATGTTTTATATTCAAATATTGGAAGCTTAAAATAAATGTTATATAAAGTTGATCAAATGCTAATTAATTTATAGTTAGTCTTGCCACATATATATGTAATAATTTCAAGAGCAGGAAAGGCGAAGACAGATTAAATCTTCAGTTTTATTTTTGGCAACATGTTTCGGCTGCACACAAGTCGGCACATTAAATGTGCGTATTACATTTTTGATAATTTTGTAGCAAGAAAGCAGAGCAGACAGACAGCAGTGTAGATAGGCCAAAGCGTGGAAAGCAAGTGTGTAATGTTCAGGATGAAATCTGAAGTCAGACTTAGTTTTGGTTCTCAAAGCATTCTGATTGGAAATGACGCAGTACAGAGAGGGGTTACTATTTTTAGAATAGAGAAGGAAAATTAATTTATGCTGTTAATTTAATCTTTTACATATTCTTCATTTTTCTGACGTATTCCCCCCCCCCCCAAGAAGAAAGAGGTGTAGTGACAGAGAAGTCTATTTAAAGAAAAAGTGTTAAAGCACTAGCAAATGGGGGGGGGAAGATCTTGTAAAAGTATCATTTAAAAATATAAATTTTTAAAAATAAATTTTAATTTTTAAAATCACTGAATTTTTCAGTATTTCAGTCCAAAAGTTCCTTGTCATAACAACGATGTGGTCAGTGTAAGTACCAGTGTTGCCAACTGTAATTGAAACAAGTATCTGCTTAAGTGGTATTGAAAAATTCACTGTGGCTTAGTTCACTTAATTTTGCAGCATAGTAAACCTTTTATGGTAGATTCAACCATTTTGCCTCTGTCTCCAGGCCATAGAATATTCATGATATGGTTTGGAGATCATACGATAATTATTGAGATTATTATTTCAACAGATGTCGATTTGCCTGGGTCCCTAAAAATGTATTTTATTATTTGGCCAAGATTGGGCAATGAAATGTTTTACGATATGGCTAATTCGGCAATCGGCTTTGCGCATTTCAAGTGATTTATAATGTCCGAACACCTATGATGAGCTACTAAAAATTCTGAAGAGCACAGTTAATATTTCACTAAGTCAGTGTGGAAACAAATTTTTTTTCAAAAACATATTTTTTAAAATTTATTAATAAACACACAGTTTCCTTTTTGGAATTTTGGAGATTAAATTAATTTTATAGTATAAAATAAGTGCAAATGCCAACTCTCAATTTGAGCTGAACATGTCATAACGACGATGTGGTCAGTGTAAGTACCAGTGTTGCCAACTGTATTTGAAACCAGTATCTGTAAAATTAAATAAAAACACAGATCTCATAAGCTACATGCTATTTTAAATTCTGTGAAAAAGTAAGTAGATGAAAAAATAAAAAAATATATTCATTCTCATGCTATAGGCTTTGACGGAAAATATCGACAACATTAAAAATATATAGATTGTAAAATATAAGAAAAAAGAGAGTTGCAAAATGCTTAGATTGCAACACTGAGTATTATGGGATATTCTAGCTGCTAAATCAGGATTTTAATTCAGGCTGCACTATTTTTACTTTTCAACGCTAAAATTTTCTAATAACTTTGAAAAAATTAAGCTAGCATGAGCAAGAACCACATCATCAAACCATTACAGCCCTGTTCAAAGCACCTTGTAAGCATAGCTATAATCTGATTCTATAAGAAAAATGGTTTATCTCTTGGAAAGCTAAAAATAATAGACTGTAATAAACTGTTTTTATAACTATATCTTTGGATATTCAATTTATGCATTAAATAGTTTAACATAATACAAGGATGATTGCAGTCTGGATATATGTTATGGAGACAATGAAATATTTTTTATTTTCATTACACAAAAATTTTGGGTTAGAAAATTCCTCTGAAGCCTCTGTAGGATCTAGACCCTAATCTTTGGATAACTAGATTGAATAACTAGACAGCTGTCCAAACGTCTGTACATTCCATAAATCATTCTGTTCTTTTTAGCAGTTTGTCATGCATACTTCCAAGTTCTAATTCTAATAACTAAAGGTTTAAGTGAAAAGCCACCATCAGAATGTCTTGCTGATCATAATGAACTTTAAGTTGCTGCTAGCAAAGAAAAATACAAGTGCAGTCATTCCAAAAAAGTTAGTTACATTAGTGACATTATGATAGAATACTGAATATCCTTGAAAATTGGTCACTGACTGAAATATTATTTATATTTTTTGTGAAAAAATACAAGTGAAGGTTTTGAGTCAGAAAGTCCCTCTGAAGACCCAATTGGTAAAGATTTTAGAGACAATTGGTGAATAATCGAGCAACTTACCAAACTGCTTACATTCCAGAAACCATTCTCTTTCTAGCAATTTTCCATATCTAATACTTGTTAGCATATAAACTTGACTTCAAGTTCTAATCTGGTACTTAAGTGAAAATCGAAAATATCAAAATGTATTGCTGATCACACTGAACTTTTTTTATATGTTAACAAAGAAAACTATCACTACAGCAGTTCCTCAAAATTAAACCTGATCTCGTGAAAAGTAATTTTTAATAAATTTTGAAATATTACATTTTTTTTGCTTGTTTAAAAATATGTGTATATGCATATGTTTAACCTTATTATCCTGAACTATTTGAAATTGTATATCTTTATTTCTTGATAGTTTTCAGGTTTTTGAAATAGAATTGCAGTCATCCCTAATATTAGTTTAAGAATGGAATTTACTTTGAAATTTGTTCATATGTTTTCCTAGATTTTTACTTTAGAAGCATAAACCTATTTGAATTGAATTGAACAAAATAATAAATACTGCTAAATTAAAAAGGGTCAAGAGCATTTGTTTTTTGCTTCTCTTCTTTTGCTAAAATTGTTTTGAAGCTTTCCATTTAAAACATGCAATTTTATATGTTAAGGCGGTGGTGAATGAGAAACGGCAGAAAGGAAGACTGGATCGTGACCGTGATTACCTACGAGAGCGAGAGGAACGAGGACGAGACTGGGGCAAGTCATGGGCTGACAGTCGCGAAAGGAGCCGAAGCAGAGGCCGATCTAGGCGTCACAGGTAGTTTTTAAAATTTTTCTTGTGAATTAATGTTTAAAAAAGTATAGCATTTTCCCTTGAATTTTTGAATAAAATGCACAATGAAATTATTCGTGAACCAAAATTTTACTGATTCTGGAGGTGGTTTATCATTCAAAATGTTCGTGAACCAACAAAATTTTCCTCCTATTATAATTAATGTAAAATGAATTAAATTTTTCCTGGATGATTGCATAGAAGAGATTACTTTGAATATAAGTTCATAATGCAAAACCAGTGGAATTTATTAAATGTGACGCACAATATTTAACATAAAAAATTTAAAAACTCTAATTTTATCACATCTGTGCACAGGAAAGTAGAAAAAGTGAAGAAGCCAAAAGTGCAGATGGTTACAATTTGAAAAGGAAATCCTATTTCATAAAAATGTCACAGCTGTTCCTTTTCTTTTAATGCAGCTTTTGTTTACTTCAGAATTTCTGTGACCTTTTCTTATTAAAAATATTTTCAGTGTGATATGTTTCTGTTAATCTTTTAAAATATTCCTAAAGCAAGACCTGTTATTGTCATTGCAAATGTTTATACTGTGGCTTACTACTGCTTAATTAGAGTGATAATGTTCAATGAATCACAAATTTTATACAAAATAATTAAAAATATCCTTCCTTCCATCACCTTTGAAATATATTTCCACTTGTAATGTGTATCGTTTCCCTTACGAAATCCTCTACAAAGGTATCCCTCCTCTTAGGCAGATAGCCTTCAGGTAATTTGTCATGTTCAAATAAACCAAACTCCAAGACATGTCCTGCATTGAATTAACTATATTTTGGAGTACTTGTTCATATCTCATGACTGTTCGTCATCCAAGATTTTTTTTTGTTTGGCAACTTTATTTGTGATCTAAGGTTTCACTGTAATTTATTTTATTTCTATTAGAAAATTATTTCTTAATAAAATTATAGATTATTTCTATTATTTTCTTTAGAAATTATTTCTTCTGCCAAATTTAAATCCTTTGTATAATAGGAATTTAAAAATAAGTAAGTAAACGAAAACATCATAGCTGTTCTCTGGGTTTTTAATTTTTAGCTCTTAAGGAAAATGTTCTTTCCCCCATAATGGTTTTTAGCAAGTTTTTTCTTATTAAGTTTTATTAAATCGAAATTATAAAATTGAGTGAAATTAGCCAGCAAAAATTAGATGGAGATATGAACTAGAATTGCCAATGAAATTCTACGCATTTATTTGAATATAAGGAAATAATTTAAAAGAGGCCTGAAAAGCGTTTAATAATGTTAGTTAAAATGTGGCGAACTTTCCACATTTTAACTTATTAATTGCATTTTAACTTATTTATAATTTTTCATAATCACTTAAAGTTAATAATTAATTATTAAATTAAAGTGATTGTGAAAAGATTTTCCAGGAATGGGAAAAAATGAGTGTCATTGAACAATTACTGGAAATTAAATTGAATAAAGAATGTCACTATTTGCTCATGGGCCAGCGATTAAATTAGATAGTAAAACTTCAAAAATGCTTCTGGTTTTTGACACTTCTAGCTCTCAAATGGTCTTTAAAAGGAGTTAATTGCATAGAAATGATATCCTATATTCTTGATCATTTTAGAATATATCCAATTGGTATAAGAGCTGACACTGAAAACGACTTTTTGAGGTTATCTGTAGCACTCCAAGATAGAGATTCTCTTACTTTCCCTTCCCCCCATGTAATGAAGGGCAAGAAATTTATAAACATTATTGAGATGTATTTGGAGTTTGTTGAATGCATGTTCGATAACTGCCCTCTGCCAAATGATGAAATTAATTGAAAAATTATTCTGTGTGGACAAATATGTAACTGAAGTTTTTAATATAAAAGTTCCACTTTATAGAACAGGCAGTGTTAATAATGTCTAGAGGTTGTTTTATTTTGTGTGGCTTTCGAATTCTAGTACCAAAGTGCTTAGTCCACTGAATCGTATAAAAATACTTTGATCTGATTCTACTAGAGCCATTTGATGGACAAAAGAGCTACAAAATTGGTTAGTTTTCATGACAAACTGAGTTAAAAAAGCTGACATAAGCTGAAAAATCCTCAGGTATAAGTTGACAACACCTCAAATTTATTTTGAGGAGTTGCTGATTGCTATATTCTATTGCTGATTTTACTGTCACATAGCTATTCTGCTAGGGACATGGTGGTGGGAGGGGCCTTCATGGCTAAAGAGAAATCCTGAATGTTGGCTGGTTTGCAAAATTGGTAGTTAGCCTAAAGATGTAGACATAGAAAGGAAAAAGATTAAAATGATGACTATTGATTTGGCAAAGGTGCACCCCTTTGGCATATAAACAACATATCAAATTGTGATAAATTAATTCGAATGTTTGCTTGGGTTTTCAGATTTGTAAATAATTGTCGGCTAAATCAGATCAAGTGTAAGAACCCTGAACATTTTCTGAAATTGAAAATTCTGAGAAGTTTTTGATTTGTTTAGCTCAAAGTTATTATTTACCTGATGTAAAATCCTTGAATTTTGTTACATTTAAAGATAAAAATAATATCTTAAAAATAAAAACCAAGGTAAGTTATTGACTTGATGAAGAGAACACTTCTTCTATCCAATATTGGAATCTGAAAGAATGTTTTGATTATTGTGTCAGTCCTTGTATGTGTTTCATATGCTTTAGTAAAGTGTTTCCGTTTTTTTCAAAATGACTTCTTAGACTTTGTAAAACACCCTGCATTGTGTAGATGCGAGCCCATGAATTAACCCTCTGAGCGGCGCACAATTTAAGACCTGTCATGAAGACACGTATTTAAACAGCTTTTGTATAATTACTTATTTTAGTTTCTATTTTCATAAATTTCCATTTATTAAGATGGCACTTATATTATTAAAAAAAGTAAGAAAGAAAAATATCTTAAATTATAATAAGCTAATATATACCAAAAGATAAAAAATTCATGACAGCATAAAGCTAGTCATAGTGCTCAGAGGATTAAATTTTGGCTTTTTGTTCTCAAAAAGAGTAGTTGCCTGCACTATCAGTGGTGTTGGTATCAGGCTCATAACCACAACTTAACCTGTACATTCCTATGCAACATTCGCTCAACAACAGTATATTTTACACTGAGTCGTTAAATACATGCTGCTGTGTTGCCATTTTTGTGTGTACCTGTTTCTAATCATTCGTGTATATAAGCTTGCATCCCTGATTTTCATCTCTTTTTTTTTATAAAAAAAAATGCAGCTTATACACTAAAGAATATGGTATAAATTAATTCCAATAGGTATTAATTTATTTGAATTTTATGATATAGTTAAACAATTTTTAAGCAGCAAAAAGTAGCGTAAGGGAATGATGAAGTAGCAGAAAATTCACAAAGTTGTATAGCCCTAAATTTCAGTAGCCTAAGTTTGTCAAAAGTAACAAATTTGCAATAAATAGCAAAATCTGCAGTCGCTGTACAATCTGCAACAGGAGATGCAAATATTACATATATGTAGATGGGAGTCCACATTTTTAAAGTTAGGACTTGGAAGAACTGGGAACCCTTGATGTAAACAGTAGCCTTTTCGTTCTCCTTTATATAGCAACAAATGCTGCATGCCTGTACCATAGTGTTTGAAATTAAATGTGTCTTTTATGTTTGCTTTTTCCCTTGAGTCTGTAGATATTATTTAAGATATTTTTGTTTTTAATTTTTAGATCCCGCTCTTCATCCCGGGAACGCCGCCGCCATCGCACTCGGTCAAATTCAGAGGAACGCCGTAAGCACAGCAGGCATCGCCGCAGATCCCGCTCCAGAGAACGTCGTAGGTCTCGAGACGGTGACAGGAGTCGCAGCCATCGCAGAGAAAAATCGGGTGACAGGCATAGCAAAGAAAAATCAAAAAGGTAAAAACTGGCTTGTTTTCTAAAAATATTTTCCAGTATGTGTTTTTTTCCTCTTGATTAAATTTCTTATGCAGTTGAAGCCATGTTATTTGTAGTTGAGCAGTCTCAGAAAAGGATTGGTGCATGAATATGGATAGTGTTTTAATGTATGAAATAGCTTTATAATGTTGTTAGTGAGAAGATTTGTTCTTTCCAGATTTCAAGCAACAGTTTAAAAATATATGTTTCTATTTTAGGTTAAAATAACGTGCCAAACAATGATTATTTTAGAAATCAAACAACAAAAATCAGCATTTCTGTGCAGGCTCGGTATTTGAACCATCAAAACCAGTCCTGGAAAATTTGCAAATATAACACTGATTTTTGTTGTTTGATTTCTAAAATAACGTTTATATGTCATAATATCTATGTGCTAATGGAGAAGGATTGGCTGACTTTGGTGGTAATTGGATGCAATTAGTTTTTTTTAATTTTGGGTTGAAAACATTTGACATTCACTTCTCTAAAATGCCTTTGTAGGGTTTTCTTACCCTGAGGTACAAGTTTTAAGTACCCCTATATTTCTTGTTCACTTTTTTGAAGAACTGCGAACCAGCCTGATATTTTGTGTATGGACTCCAGAACGTGCAAATTGGAACATTGATGGTTACTCAGCAGTATATTGTTATGAATTTTGTACATATGTAAATAAATTTAGTCAAATTGTATGTAAAATTATATTATCTTTTGTGTAATGTAGCATGAAATGCTTCGAGAAATGAAGCTCTGCCAGAAAAAGATTAAAGAGAAAGTCTATTTAATATTGAAGTAAATGGCTGTCTCGCTGAGTTGACGATAGTTTTGGCAACTAATTTTTGTCACCAAATTTGGTGAGAAATCGTGAAAAGTCACCAAACATGGCTACATTTTGGTCCGTTCCCTGTATAACTGCAATTCATCACAGTTATCTGGCCCTTATATGTAACTATAACCATATATTCCTTCTTGTAATTTTGAGAAAGTTTTCAAGAGAAAGTGTTATGTCCAATATTTACTGGGATAAAGAAATTGATATTAGAAATTCAATTTCTTTATCCCAGTGATTTCCAAAGAGTGAAACTTCAAGACAAAGCAATAAGCCAGACTTCTAAAAGTACCACTGCTTTTCTTGAAGAAATGAAGACTGATACAGTTATTGCATTTACATCTTTTCAACGTGTTCCTGCAAACTCTTCTGATGTCATATGTGGTCTGTTGTGCCTTTGGTCTCTTGAAAACTCTCTAAGCTTTTTTTGTTTTTGTTTTTGTTTTTGTTTTGTTTTGTTGTTGTTTCTTTTCCTATCATGATTCCTTTCTGTTAAACAGCATTTCTTTGTGAGGCAGACTTATTTTTCAGAAAAGGGGCTGTCAGATTGAAGATTTAATAAAATACTCATTATTTTATACATTTTTTAAACGGCCCTGTAAAATCATTCTAAAAATGTGCAGGCACCCTCTGTAATTCTCAGACATGGTTATTTTAAGTCGAGCATTTCAAAAGGTTGTTCAGCATCTTCTCACAATACTCATAATTCTTACTTTACTTAAGACAGCAGCTAGGAATCCTACTTAGAGATCACCAAAATATTGAATAAAGCAAACAACTGAAAAAACCGACAATTAGTATTGAAAACTGAGTGTACATACACTTTTTGGCTATGATCACAGAATTGCTGGGTGCCAACTTTTGTTTAATTCATAATTATTAGTTTTGATTCTAAATTTATTTTATATTAACATACATATGTTTTATGAAATATAGAAAAATTTTTAAGGTAGCAAAATATTGCACAAAGAAGTAATGAAACAACAAAAAATTTAAAAAAATCACATAACCATAAATATTAGTAGCACAACTTTGTCAAATAAGAAATTTGTAAAAAAAGTTGCATGATATGGCAGTACTATACCCAGATGTTAATTTCATCTGGCTGGTAAGCTATTCGATTTAAGGAGTTTAAAGGTTTATTGTAGTATTGATAATTAAACTTTTTTTTTTCTTTAAATTAATTAAATTTGTGCTCCTGGCTTATGAGAACCTCTTTTAGACTACCTATTCCAATGCACAGAAGATTTGACTTATATCATGTTTTATATTTCTAGTATTATCAAAACATTCCAATTTGTCATTTGATGGTCACCTTTAAGTTTTTCTTCTTCCTTACTACATGCCTTCATGTAGGTTCGTACAGTCCTTAAAAGTCCTTAGGTTTTTCGGAATTCATTTTTGGTCCTTTAAAAGTCCTTAATTTTGGCCAAAATACTCAGAAGGTCCTTAATTCTAATCATTTGAAATTTGTCTTGTTTTTAACGACTACTATTTTGAGTGTGAATGATCATTTTGGAGGAATATTTTTGCCGATTTACTGACAGATATCTTTGAATCTAATAAAAAGAATCTTTGAATGCGCGAATGGGTTCATAGGTTATAATTTGTTCCTATTTCTAATATAAAGCATAGGATACTGAAGTTTCTGAATAAGGAGTCAAATATAAACTTTTTTCTAATGAATAGCTCTTAAACAAATTTCTGCTTTTGGGGATGTGAATTCTTTTATTAAATGAATCGAAATTTAGTGACTTATCGACATTTTGGCGATTTTAAGATCAATTTGTATAGAAAATTTTTAATTCAAAGATCTGGGGATTTTTCGACGATTTTTTTAAACATTGTAACATTGATAAATTTAACTAAAATAATGGTATTAGTTTGAAATTATATTTAAGAAATAACATTAAAATAAAATATTTTTATTTTTTAGCTGTCATATCATAAATTGACATTACTTTCCATTTCGGCGACTTATTATACGGTATTTTGAATCTGAAAAATAAACAAGGTGATAAATACTGATTCAGAAGTCAAACAACAACAAAAAAAAAAAAAAAAAAAAAAAAAAAAAAAGACTTCTGAATCAGTATTTATTCGGCGTGTTATTGTGTCTTAAGGTGATAAATGCTATAAAGCACTTTACAAAACAATTCATAGAAAAAGCAAAATAACTATGTAATTAATTAAAAATTTCTTCCTTTTAATTTTTTCATAGTAAGAATTTTTCCCATGTAATTGTTTCAGAATTGTCAGAATATGCATCAGTTTTCTCTATAAAATTAATTTTACACTTTTTTTCCAGTGATTTTTTTTTTTTTTTTTTTTTTTTTTGAATGATTTCTGGCCTAAGGCTGGCGCTAGGCATTTTCCCACTTGATGCAATCTCTGTGAATCCCAAATTCTGCCACCTAGTGCTTCTCTAAATTATGCTGCCTAGTGCTCTCCTAAATTCTGCTCCTGCTCCCAGTTCCTGTCCGAAATTCTAAAAGTTTTGCCATTTCTAGATTTTGTTGCTCGGTGTGTGACTAAATTCTAAAAATTCTGCCTCATTGGCTCTGAAACCAACCCTTAATCACATATCATTTCATATTTATTCTGAATGTTCATATTACTAAAGAAATAAAATTGGCAGCTCTCTCTTTACATTCTAAATGCATTTCGTTTTTTAGAATAACAGAAATCTTTAAGTAATTCCAAAAATTCTAAAATAAAGAGGAAACATTGAAGAAAGAAACTGAATACATAAAGAGGAAGAAAATTATTCTTCAAAGAAATGTATTATTATTATGTAAATTAACCAGTTGTTTATAATTTTAGTCTTTACTGTAACTTCCCCTCTCCCTTTCCTCACCATAATGCAAATCAGATAGTTTTTAAACTGAGAGTTTTGGATTGTAAGACTGAGTGTTTCTGCCCTCCACTTGGATGTTGCCTTAGTTCCTGCCAGCTGTGATAATTTGTAATTATTCATCTTTGTGTTATCACTGCTAACATTTGAATTTATTACTACGGTACTGAATTACTGAGGCTGTCACTACAATATTGAAATTACTGAACCACCTTACATTAAATTTAAATTGTGTAGTCTATGACTACTAATCCACATTTTTAGTTTGACTATTTTTGTTTAATTGCATCACTACAAGGTGGAGTTGATTTTGTCCACATAAGAACGTGCCTGTATGTTCTAAGTTCTTTTTAAATAAGAGGTTTATTTAAATCTTTATGCGACTTTGTAGTTACTGTCAGACATAGCAATAATTTGCTTCAGAGATTTTGGTTTATTTAACTTTTACCAGATCAATTAAAACCTTGTTAAGTACAGCATTGAGAGACTGGCTAGTTAGGAGTTAAAGCATGCAGAAATTAGTGGGAACATTGGTTTGTGTATTGAAACAGATTCCTAATTGTTACAAAAGATGTTTAAAGAGAAGAAAATTGATATAAATTAGCCAAGATGTCTGGGAAGACTTCAAATAAAAAAGACTCATAAATATTTTATTTTATAGCTTTTAATGTTTAGTTATCGTAATACCATTTAAGAATAAATGTCATAAATTACATGTATTTTAAACTGTGAAATGTTATTAGATTGTGATTTTAATAGTGCTTTTTTAACAAATCTTTTTAAAAAGTAAATAAAATTAATTAGTGGTCATGTAAATCTTTACAACTAAGGATATTTAACTACCTAATTTAATTATTTATAATTAACTGCTCACATTTAAAAGTTATATCTGTATATTAAAGCAAGTTATTGCCTTTCATTAATCCATACTGTGGACACAAGATACAGCACAAAAATGTAAAAATTATTGTAACACTTATTCTTTGCATCTAGTGAGACTTCAAATAATACAAAACAACTTATCACCTTTGGTGCATTAAGTGGCTTATTATAACCTTAAAATATATTAACTGGTTTACAATCCCAGAAACTATACATGAAGCTACAACACTAACTGCGTCAGACAGACGGAACACAACTAACTTTCAAAACTTGCCAACCATGCCTACATCAGGCTTTCAGGTTTGTTCTGATCAACAGATATCTCTCTAGGGAAGCAGCAGCACTGGCAACAGCCAATCTTCTGCTACGAATCATGCTGATAATGATTTTATTTCTCATTTTAACCTATGCCATTTGATATAAACTCTACCTGCTATTTACTAAACCTCTAGACTGAGTAAGTACGTGGCAAAATGAGACGTAAAAGAAAAATTCAACATAAAGCTGACTGTTAGTAAAACGTAAATAAAATGTCCCCAGTCTTCTTTCAAATATATCCAACTACTATATGTGTAAAATATTTAATGCTGCTTGATACATTTTATAAAGTGGGTTTTATTCTCAAATTTGTTGTACAGTCAAAAGTCGTTAATTCGGACACCAATGACCGGACCTCAAAGCTACAAACTTTCTGCGCATGCGTCATGTTAACGCATGCGCGTAAGACCTTTATGGTTGCGAATATGCTTGTGCGCGTGCACAAAATACGTTTACGAGTGCGCGTTTAATGTATAACGGACAGTATAAGCTAAGCTAAAATGATCTAATTATCTATTTCAGTTAATGTTGCAGATTGCGTTGTTCCTTAATCTTCGAATTGGATCCGGCTTATTATTTTTTACAGACTGTTAGAGCAATTTTATAAAAGTGAGCTTGAACTTTCGATTATGTCAAATAGAATTTCTGATATATATTTATTAATATGTAAAGGATCTACAAAGCGAAAGTATGTTTCAAAGTTCATTAAACAAAAAGTGGAATTGCTGCAAAAAATGGATAAAGGCATATCCTTTGTTTATCTAAACTTTAATGTTTGTTTATCTAAACTTTCTTTACCCTTTAACACGCGCGCAATCAATTGGAAGTTGATCTGTTAGCACTATCCTTATCTTCAGGGCAGATGTTTTTATTTTATTTGGCTTATAATTCCTTACTAAATGTAGTATTTCATCTTGATGTACTCCGTCTTTGATATGATTTAAATCAAATTCCTCGTCATTATAATTCGCTTCCGATAGCGAAGAAAGTGACAGAGGTTATTGAAAACAAAAAAATTTCGATTGACAAATTAGTCGGTAGACACGGCAATTATAGGACTTGAACAGCGAAACTTTGTAACTGAACAAGGAATTATGTCTGTTTATAGAATTAAAGAGAATGTATTATCGCATAAAAAACGAAGCAACTTAAACAACTTACATTGAAAGAAATGTTTAATAAAGTAAACAAATAAATATTAAGCTTTTTTTTTTTTTTTTTTTTTGTAAATTTTGATACCCTTTAGATCATAATTGTTCTTTATTTCATAAATTACGGTTTCATATTTTTAAGTTTATAATTTCTGCATGCCATCTTACCAGATTTAAACTGATGATCTATAATCCAGAATCGCCGAAGTCCCGACGACTTTTGACTTAACGACTTTTGACTGTATATGTTTATTAAATTATGTGTAATAATGCATGCTACTTACGGATCTATTTTATTCTTAGAGTGTTACTACAAAAGTGAAGTTCAGACATAAGTTGATTGATTTTAATTTATTCAAATCTCATTTGTTGATAGGTCCTTAATTTTTTTCATTAGCAGTCCTTAAAAGTACTGAATATCCACGTGCAGAAATGTGTACGAACCCCGTTCATGGTGTAACTGAAAAGTGCATAAGGTTAGCATTGAGAAAGTTTAGAGTTTGAGTCCCAGCAAGAGCATAGCTTTTTTTTTTTTTTTTTTTTTTTTTTTTTTTAATGATTCTTACCTTGACAAACCTATGCCATTAAATGGTGTAACCGAGTTTGCCATTGAATGGTCCCACTGTTAAACACTAGGATAATCAAATGCTGTGTCCACAATTCTGTAAGCACTGAATTTATATGTTACTGCCGATGTAGAAAATGCTGGCATTCTATAAAATACCTAAGCATTTTTAATATAAAATACCTAGCATTTTTAGACAAAGTATAAAATATGAGAATTATTATGCACTATCCCTAGGCATTCTCTGAGAAGGACAAATGCTATTTAGGCAAAGTATGAAAAAAGCTCACAATAAAGCTTTATTTAAAAGATGTGCATTCCTCAAAAATACAAATGCTACTTAAAGAAATAATGAAAGTGTGCCATTAAAAAAGCTTTTATCCAAAATACACAAAGAAAATTGAAAGTTGTACAAAATGAAATTTTGTCTTTCTTATTAAAGAAAACAATGTGTGGAATTGTGAAATGAATGTATTATGGATGATTATCTTAAATGTATGAATATTCAAAATGAAACAAAGATATATTTTATACTTTGCCAGTTTGTGATATGAAATTTCAATCGTTTCCTATATTGCCAGCCAGTTTTCACCATTCTATAAAATGCCTGGGTATTCTATAGAATGGTGGCTTTCATATGTTGCTGGTAACATCTATAGAAAATGGAAAAGTGAAATATTTTGCTGAATAAGATAATAAGTGTGAAGAAAGTAAATCCCATGGATGTAAATGATAATGGTATTTTGTGATGTAACAAAAAGACTTAAAAATTTTTGGTGTTTGTTCTTTTTTTTTTTTTTTTTTTTTTTTTTCAGAAGTCGATCACGAGAGCACAGACGTTCTCATTCTGCAGGAAATGATAGAGAAGAGAACAATTACGAAGAGTAAGATGGACATCCTTGAAACAGTATCTGGTTCTAAAAGCTTTGTATGTGTATTTTGATTTTTTCCCCCATAGACACTTCTTAATAAATTGTATATGTGTTTTGTGGACTGATAGTTATTTTAATTTTCATTTCACTTCAACACTTTTTCACCCAAAATATATCATCAGGAGGAAAGTTTTCTGCATAAATATTATATGTGGTTTGTTAATTCCTCACACTTTTCTGGGGAAAAAGCATTTCTTTTTAATAATAAACAAACATGAGTATGATGTATAGAGTTTGCTAAATAAATATTTTTGATAATATAGTGGCTATTTAGACTGGTAATGGGGTAATTTACTTTCAAAGTGTTTAGTAAAAAAGAAAGCAGTTTTTCCTTTAAGATTAAATGGCAAATTTTTTAGTCAACAATATATATAGGGCAATGGACTCAAAGTGATATTCCCATTAATTAATTAGTGTTATTGTGACAAGAATTTGAAGAAAAAATTTTAAGATTTTAATAATCTGGACATTATTTTCATTACTGTGAGTAACACGCTAGAAAATTCGCAAATGGAGCCAATTTGTTGTGAAACTGATTAGTTGTATCTTACAAACATTAAAAACAAATATCTTCATTTTATGTACGAGACACAGATGGCGTTGGCTATGATTGAAGCAGAAAGAGAAAAAGGGTTTCTCCCTTTCGACCTCGTGACGTGAACCGATTAAGATGTGTAATAACTTTAGGGGCCAGAAAAATTTCTCGAAAATTGTTAAATAATGTATATATTTTGTAGTGTAGATAGAATATAATTAGATAAATCAACTTCTTAGAGTTTTTATTCCGATTCAACATCACACTACCCAGGTAAGTGAGCAAGTTTTGTCTTTAGTTTTTCTGGATTGCTCGGTATCTGGACGAGTGAAGGAAGTATTTTTATTTTAATGATATTTAATAATAAGACTATGTTTTAGTAATAACATAAAATAGCGTCCCGCGACAAGACTCTAAGAAATAAACTTTAAAAAAATTATTTTAATGGTTATAGATAGTTTTTGATGTATTAAAGTATAATTAAGTTTAAATTCGAAACTATTTTGTAAAGCATTTTGTTTTATTTTGAAAGTTAACTATGGAAGTTTTAAAGGCTCTGAAACTTAAACGGGCAGGTTTACGCTCTTCTTTTGCAAAAACTGCTAATATTTTAAAAACAAAGTTACTAAAAGAAGATTTTTCTGTAGATTTAGTACGAGATAAACTTACTAAACTACAAAATGTATATTCAGATATAAAAAATGTAGATGATAAAATTCTTGATTTGTTAACTGAAGACGGGAAAACTTAAGAGGATGATGTTACTAAAATCAAAAGTCGCAAGGTGTATTCTGATGATTTCATAACACTAATTTGGCAAATTAATAAAAAATTGCAATTTTCAGATGAAATCAATTTAGAAACAACCAAATGATGGTGCTGGTATTTGTTGTAGTAAGATTAAACAGTATTGACTTCCGAAAATCGAACTTAAAGAAGTTTGATGGGGAATTGATAAATTGGCTACCGTTTTGGTCGCAGTTTGAGAAAATTCACACTGACCCTGATTTATATGAAAGTGACAAATTTTCCTATTTGATTCAGCGTATGAAGCCCAGATCACGTGCTAAAGAATTCGTTGAAAGCTATCAGGTGACTTCGGAAAATTATGATAAAGCCGTTTTAGCTTTGAAGGAAAGTTTTGGGAAACCTGAATTATTAGTAGAAGTGTATGTTAGGGAACTAATTAAATTAATTGTTTCTAATGTGAAGGCAGATCACAAGGATAAATTACCTCTTGATAAACTGTATGATAAAATTGAAGCTCAGTTGAGAGCCTTAAAGTCTTTATGTCTTAAATCGAGCAAAAACACATCGTGGTTATTTCCGATGGTGGAATCGTGTCTCGCAGAGAATGTTTTAAAGGCGTGGCAAAGGAGTTCGCTCTTTAATTAGCCTGAAGGAACTGATCTTTCCCACCTCACCAACTTGATGAAATTTTTAAAGTCTGAAGGGGAGGGTTAGGAGAGATTAAAATTGGTGTGTAATGGACTCGATTGTGTTAGTCGTAAAGAAGGATATCATGATAAAGCAAACGGGGAAACAAAAGGTAAATTTAAATTCTGCCACAGGTTTTCATACAACCAGAACACATGCTTGTATTATTTGTGGTAAAATGCATGATAATAAAAATTGTTACGATGCACGTTCATTATCTCTTAAGGAAAGGATTTCTAAAATTAAGGAGAAAAAATGTTGTTTAAAGTGCTTGGAGCCAAATCATATGGCAAAGTTCTGTAAACAGTTTGTTAGGTGTTTTGCTTGTGGTAAATCACACTCAATTATTTTGTCGTCCAGACATTAATAATGAAACTGAACCTCCTACAGAAAAATCAGAAATAGACAACATACCTACGGCTACAACCAGGCAAACTTGTACCACTGACGTAGCTTTAATGACTTTATGCGGAAGAGTAGCTGGTGTCAAAAAGCATAAAGATGTTAGAGTACTTTTAGATTTTGGTTCCCAGAAATCATATATTTTGAAATCATTAGCCACTGAATTGGAGTTACCAATTATTTACAAAGAAAATGTTGCTCTTACTTTATTTGGAGGTGCCAGAACAGAAGCAAAGTTGCATAACAAATATCGGGTAAAATTATGTTCAGCCAGTCCGGCGTAAGTATTCAGATCTAGAATTTGAATTTTTAGATCAAGACATAATATGTGGGGATATACCTCGGGTACCCAAGGGTCCGATATTAAAAGAATTAAAAACGAAACAACATTTGGTTGTCGGATTTGGGAGCAGATTGTCCAAAAATAGAAATGCTCATCGGTAGTGATATTTATGGAAAAATTCTCACGGGATCAGTAAAACAATTAAAAGGAGGACTAACAGCAGTCTGTACGAAACTTGGTTGGACAGTTTGTGGTGTATCGGAGGAATTTGTTAATCACAAAGATAAAGATGCTTCCATTTTGTGTGCAAGTTTAGTGGGTCACGACTTTAAAATCTCCGATCTTTGGAGCTTAGAAACGATCGGAATATTAGATGCTCATCAGAATTCAACTAACGCTGCTGAGGAAGAAATTGCCCACGAACAATTTTTAAACTCTCTTTCCAGAAACGAAGATGGTCGTTATTGTGTCGGATTACCTTGGTTAGTATATAACGCAGAATGCCGTCAAATCGTCATGTAGCAGAAAAAAAACTGTTCAGTGTCACCCGAAAACCCAAGTATGATAGAATACTTGAGTTTTTGGGTGACACTGAACAGTCTTTTTTCCGCTACATGACGATTTGACGTCAAATATGAAGATTATGATAGAATTTTTAATGGATGGAGGAGGGTGTAATTGAAATAGTACCAGATGCTGAACTGAATTCTAAAGGGCACTACTTACCGCATCACCCAGTATTTAAACCAGACAGTGTCTCAACTACGATAAGACTTGTTTTTGACGCATCATGTAAAGTTAATAGATCACCCTCCCTTAATGATTACTTAGTAAAAGGACCAAATTTAATAGAAGAAATCCCTTCAATTTTGTTAAGATTTAAGAGAAAAATGCTTTGGCATAACCTCTGATAACCGGCATGCATTTTGACACATTGAATTACGGAAAGAAGATAGGGGACTTATGGTGGGAGAAAGAAAATGTGCTGAAGGTTTTTCGTCATATGAGGGTAGTTTTTGGAGAAAGTCCAGCCCTTTTCTATTAGGAGCGGTTATTTCAGTTCATTTGGCACAAGTGCCAAAGGAACAAAGTTCTATTGCTCAGAAATTAAATAAATCCTTTTATATTGATAATTGTGTGACTTCTGTTAATAACGAAAAGGAGCTTGTGAATATTGTGAAATATTAGCTGAAGCAAAAATGGACTTATGGCTTCAGCTAATATTTCAGTAGAATTAAGTGGTATGTGGACCTATGGCCCAGTATAAAAAGATGTGGAACTAACCCAAAGTGCTTTGTGCACTGAGTCCACAATGGAGAATTTTGTACCAGTTTTAGGGATTATGTGGGACAGAAGATAACCTTATATTGAAATTAAGACTGTATTGGTTTCGGACAATTTGTCTAAAAGAGAGGTTTTGTCATTAACGCAGACAATGTTTGATCCTTTGGGTTTTCTTGACACCTGTTTTATTGCCTGCAAAGTTACTGCTACAAGAAATTTGGGCGATAAAAGCAGACTGGGATACTCCATTATCAGATAGTATCAAAAGTAAATTTTCGAGGTGGTATAATAAATTACAAATTTTGAATAAGTTGAGAATACCGCGACGTATAGGTTTTGGAGATAGAAGTTCCTGGACACTTCATGTATTTTGTGATGCTATCCAGCATGCTTATGCTACGGTAATATTTTTGAGATGCGAAACTTATATTAGTGGCTAAGTCAAGAGTCGCACCCTTAAAAGAACTTGCTATTCCCCGTCTAGAACTTATGGCCTGTCTTTTGGGTGTGCATATTTCCAAATATGTGACAGAAGCTCTTACATTAGATGACATCCCGAAATATTTTTGGACCGATTCCACCACGACCATATCTTGGATTCTAAGAAATGATGTGTGGGGAACTTTTGTGGGCAATTGCGTGAAGGAAATTCGCGCTTTCACCAAAGCAAATCAGTGGTCATATGTACCGGGCCATTCTAACCCAGCTGATTTACCTTCTCGTGGTTGTTCCCCTCTTCAGTTTTCCGAATTAAATTGGTGGAGAGGGCCTCTTTGTCTCAAAGGCCCTGGAGATAGCTGGCCAAAATTAGAAATTAAGCCAAATGAAACTTTAGCTTTTTCAGAGTGCAGGAAAGGCATAAATTTAAATGTAAATCTTAGTATAACTACAAAAGCGGATAAAGTTAAGTGGTGTGAGAAGTTCTCTAAATTTAAAAAAATGTTAAGAGTTTTAGGTTGGATAAAGAGATTTATCAAAAGAAAATTGTAAATAAAGAGCCTTTTCTGTCTGCTTCCGAGATACAGGAATCTAAAATTATACTTCTTTCACTTGTTCAGGGGGAGAGTTTTCCAGAGACTCCATCAATGGTCTTTTGACCGTACGAGATCAGAGTGGCTTA